CTTCATAGACCTTGATTGATTGCATTCATGCTGCTACACTGATGAATTCACTGTCTGCTTCCCCAGAATTGATTAATAAAACATTAGTAACTTCCTTTTTGCTGAGCAGTCTGTCATCTACAATTTGTGACAATTGCAAATGATGTTAAAAGTGGATGTAGTTTAGTTGATAAGTCATTTGAATGGCCGTTGATTTCAAGTACTGTTATCAGTAGCTACTAGGGAAGCACTTGGTTCAGTGTATGTTTTGTCATAATCTTTCACTTTGATCAAATGTATGATGTCCTCATTTCAGAATTTTTATAAAAAAGCATTAAAGTAAATATAATCCCAACCGAGGAAAAGTTTTGTTAGTGAGAAGGTCACAGTACTGAATTAAGAAATTCTATAAGGTATTACTTGGTTAGTGCTTACGTGTGTGCTTGACATCATCATAGTTCAGTTAATCATGATCTCTTGTCAGCTAATATATTACCCTTATCATTTGACCTAATCAGTGTACCAAAGATAAGCCACACACTGCTGTGTTTTGTATTCTCACATGATGATTCATTGTAGGCACAGCATGGTAAAAATATCCCTCCTTTCCCCTCCATCTCTCTCTTCTCCCTCTCTTTCCACTCCATCTCTCTCCTCTCCCTATCTTTCCCTTCCCTGTCCTCTCCCTCACTTCTCTCTCTATCTCACACTCACATTTCTGGCATAAACTTGATTAGATACTCTTAACTTCAAGAGTGGTTTGGCTCATTTTTTGGTGGGAAGTATTTTTCTACATAGTTGGGTGGTCTACATGCTAAAAAATTGCAGGAAACATTAGTGTACTGTAGTCATTTACAGTAAAAGTCGATAACCTCACTGCTCTTATGATTCCATTTATGGTAGATGAAATATTTTGAATGTTTACAGTAAAAATTTTTCTGATTGAGCAAATTTGGATATGTTGATTTTTCATTATCATTATTACTATTTAAAACACAGAAATTCTAAAAAATAATATGAGTTTGTCACCACCTTAGTAAAAAAGATGAACTATAGTGTGTATTTATACCATTTATTTATTGTTTATAACTGTATACTGTATGCTTGTCTCATGATCTGTACTATGGATTCACTTGAGCTAAGTCATCCACCCAGTCAGCCTGTATCGTATCTTTTCCTTTTGTATGAACATGGTAACCCTTGAGGGAGTGTGTAGGTTTACGGCACACCTTCAATACTGTGCTTGGTGTGGGAATGTACAAGTTTTAAAGCCTAAACTTTGGACTGATATGGGTGTTTGGAGGGTGTATCACTGTTGAGATTTAGGCAATTGCATACATATGACATATAGTATGTGAAGATTGAGCATGGAGACATTACCAATTTTTGCTATTTGCTTTGTTTTTAATCTCTATTTACTAAAGACATCTTTCAAAAGAATGTGATGTAATGACCTAATGATCCGAGAGTTTTTAACATACCTGTATATCAGTTGTGCTTTCATGTGTTAAGTGTTGTTAGTGATGGTGAAGAAGAGCTTGGCACAGTCAAAACAATAATAGCTAGAGAGTTTTATGTAAGATGCCACTACTTTTAATTTCTAGCCTTTATATGTCAACGTCAATGAACGGATCACAATGTGCAGACTATTGAAATTTAAGGGTACAGTACAGTATTTGTACACCATCAAGCTTAATCAATTATTCTGCTATGCTGAAATTGGTTTACAGTCAAAATTTCATGCACTTATTACTTAGAGATTAGATAACACCAAACATCTTTATCAAGTGTATTTAAGAGTTTTGTAACTACCTGTACAGTTTTAGATTGCTTTTGTTGTTTCAGTAATGTGTACAGTTTGTAATGTGCCAGTATGTACAGTATTTAGGTCATTTATAGAGTATTTAAAGTGAGCTACATTTTTTGTTCAGAGAACCTAAAATGATATGTAATTTTTGACTGCAAAGAATATATTGTACAGTTTATGAAGGAGAGCTACAATACAGTAGTACAGTACTGTATTCACATTCCTTCACTGCTTGAGTTGAAATATTCTACAGCTCTCACACATTGAGAAGCCTGTGCTAAGGGAGACTGAAGTTGTGATATATGTTTTGGGGGGGTTTTAATGATAAGGCAGTAGATAACAGTATCCTCCTCAGTGCTCTTGCCAAATAGGGAAATGTAATTATAGTTCAGCACTAAACTATTTGTGGGATATTACAAGAACAGTGCTGTACTGTATAGATTTTCAAAACCTGCGAGGTTGTGGGTTTATGATTAATTCAAATTAAAAGGCAGTGACAAAAAGAAAAATGCAGTAAGAATTTTATAATGAGACAAAGCTGAACATGCATCCTATCTAGCGGTAACTGATAACAAGTGAGACAGGGGTCTGAGCGTAAGCTGGGCGTGTCTTGGGCCAAGGTTCTTGCCGTCAGCACCATCACTGGAAGGCTGTGACAGGAGTGGATCTTTTTCTGTGTTAATTAGAAAAATTAGAGTGACCTGGATATTGTATAATGTAAGGACTTATATTAGGCTGCACATTGAATATCTGTATACAGGTATAAACCTATCTATCAATTCTACTCCATTTCTAACAAAAGGAATGGAAGAAATGCACAAGTCTTCCATGGGACTGCGGTAAACCCAGTCATCTTCAACTTATGCTGTGCTTGACTCAGAGAATCAAAAATTTCACTTGGCTGAAATATATCATAAGTTTACGACACTTCCACTTTCATAGAGGTATTTTTATTGTATGTAAATTCTTGAATACTGTACTACTGTATTCTTCTAGCAGACTTCACAGATGGAATACTAGACGGTAACATCTCAAATTTGTTGATGCCTATTTAAAACAGGAGAGTTTATAAGTTCTTCTATGACTAAACACATAGTAGTATATGTATATGATTAAGTAACCATCATGTTGGCAAAATTTGTGCATGGGCCAGCTCCTTTGTACAGCAGGAGTATCCATTCAAGTAAAAGTGTGACTTGGGGGGGGGGGTCATTAACCCCTCAACTACAGAGAGGACCCCATCCAGTTGCTGGTTCAAGGTATTGGTGCTCAGACTAATTGGAAGTATGCAGGGTTGCAGGTCTTGACATAGCTACGTGTGCTTTTCTTTGTGTACAATCAAAGACGAAAGTCGTGTCACGGTTTTGTCCGAAGATTAAATATAACTCGTGAAACATTACGAGAGCCCTACCACAAGGCAGAGCTCACCAAAAGTTTAGCCCTTGGCATATGTTTTCACCAAATTTCACAAAACAACTTTTGTCTTTCATTGTACATGTACTGTATATTGTAAGGTACAGTTTTAATTAAATTTAGCATTCCTAAAACGTCTTCATTGTTCATACAGTGGTCAATATTACATCATAGAGCCATTGGTCTGTATTGAGGGATAGGGATAAGCATTTAGCTTCCAAACTCTTCTCTCTGTCCTCCACTTTTTTTCACATGATGGTGTTCTTTGCTTTTATCTGTTTTGGATTGATCCATGTTTTTAGTTTTGGCTGAACCCTTAATTTTATTCATGTTATATTAAAGCAGCTATGTTTCCAGTTCGAATGAATGAAGTTCTTTTTCGTGTGGGGGGTTTTGGTGCAGTGCTCAACCTTTTAGTGTAACATTGGAATTATGGTGATTAGGTGGGTAATGATACTTCATTTCTCTGTTTTGTGATATTGGGAAGTACAATATGTATTTTTTTTTACCATTGTCTATCATCCACTTGGGTCTGAAGGTTTATGTGAGACCTTTGGAATTATATCATGATGTGTTACCCTCCAGAAACTGCGACAGTATCTGTGAGACCGGAGGAATTGTTTTTCCCCCATATTGAGGTACTGCATGGTCCTGGAATGGAGGTGGCCATGCCTCTTTGTTTAGTCAGGCAGTCATATGGCCAGATCAAGGAATTCAGATGGACTCGACCTCCATTCTTTCTCTGTCTGAGCAGGTGCATTGGTCCGATTGTTTCATAATGAGCAAGTTTGCTAGATCCGCTTTGTCTATTCATGACTATTACTGTACCTCCTCTACTTGTGTTCATGATGCATATGCCTTAGTCACATTACTATTGTTGATACACAACACTTCATGTTTTGATTTAGAAAACAATTTGGATGGCCCCTCCTCTTTTGGATGTGAACCCTGTTGTCTCAGTAGGGTTGTCAAAATCCTTCATCCATTATGTCATATTGTCTCACACAAAATCGTTTATTATACTTTTTGGAATGAGTTTACCTTATGGCCAGCATCATAGTAAACTTTGTGACTTGCCTCATATCCATAGCATTTTCAGTTCCCTGCCATATCTACTGTGTTTGAGATAGCTGTGTGGGGAGAAGAAAGTACTGTATATGCCTTAGAGTTCAAAATTTATATAATTCTAGAGGTCTCAAATTTTACATAGATTTTGTGCAAAATACTTAGTTGATTTATGTATTTCATGAGACATTTTATTACTAACTTAATGAAGAATACCAGAATAACCATATAGTACAGTAATGTCTGAAGATTGACTGTGAATGGTGGAGTTATATCCTGTACAATGTGGTAACATGAATGAACCTGATGTCTCATTGAAGTGAGTAGTTATGGTGTGATTTGAATCTTTATGAATGTTTAGAGATTTTATTTTTAATAGCTACTGCTTATGCAAATTGGGGATATGAGTAAGTATGTTTGGGGATTTTTTACTTATTATTTATTTATCCCCTTCCTGTCACTTTCTACATTTGTCTTGAACTTTTCTTTATATTATTGTCCCCGTCTTTGAGTTTCTCCGACTCTTTATTTTCTGATTTTCTTCATAAGGGTTTACTGGCCAGGTTGATGGTATTTTATGATTGACTTTACTTAAGCAGATCACATAACAAAAACAACCTTGTAAATGATGGTAGAAACATTTCCTTTTACACAGTACCTTAGGTGTAACAGGTACCAGTAGGAGTAATTTTAAGATGGGACCCATATTATAATACATACTCATCCCTTCTTTCAGATGTCATTCCGACTGGTCCGACAGAGCAAGTTCCGTCATGTATATGGCACATGCTTAAAAAGGGAACAGTGCTTTGATAATATACGAGTTAGCAAGTCATCATGGGACTCCACATTCTGCGCCGTCAATCCAAAATTCTGCGCCATAATAGTAGAGTCGGGAGGAGGCGGTGCTTTCATAGTCCTCCCCCTCACCAAAGTTAACAAGGTATTTCTCATCTATTTTGTGTCTAGCGATAAGGAATTGTTATATTTTTGAGTGAATGGAAGAGGTATGATACAGCATTTATGGATTTGATAAAAATTATATGAGTTGCAATTCTTACATTGATTATGGGACAAATAATAATGTACAGTAATATGTTACTAAAAAGCTTGACTAAAAAAGTTATATAATGAATAAGTATGGAATAGAATGGTACAGTATTCCTATGTTGCTGTAGGTATTCAAATTACATCGTATGAATGTTGACCGGTCATATGGATACCAGCTTGTAATTGTTAGGGTTAGGTTGGGGCCTTGTAGGATTAGGGCCTATTAGAACTTGGATCCATTTGACCTCCAACCATATATAAGAACAGGTCTTCGGTGTTAGACAGATGCATTTTTATTATGGTGCTCAGGAACTAAAATAAAAATATTAATGGGAAAATATGGATTATACTAAAGAATATACCACTACACCTTTTTATTTTAAGCTATGTACAGTTAGGTAGGTGTGTAGTACTGTATGGCTAAGAGGGAATTGTATATTGTGCATTGATTAGACTCTAGTGATGATAAGGTTAACATTATAAATTCAGAGTATCGAGGCAGATGGGTCAATATTTAGAAGAGGGAGTAAGATTCAGCTTCAGAGACCTTATTAAAAAAAGATTATGTATTTGAGTAAGAATAACTGTCAGTCCTGCAGGTCTAACCCATTGTTATCTGTGTCTGGTATGTAACACATTTTTGTCTATGGTTGTGTGTGTTCCAGGTGTAACATTGCCTATTGATGGTGACATGCTAAAACTTGTGTTGCTTTTCCTGTTATGTAGAGTACTGTATTTATGTATTGGGAAGAGAGAAAATGGTGTTACTGTGGGGAACTTTGAGTTAAGATATGTAATACCACATAAATCATAACACAAAATCCCTCTCTAGGAGTAGATAAAACACAGAAAAACAAGAGCACTGTTACTGTCAAAATATACGAAGTGCCTTTTTTTTTCTTTTCTTTTCCTATGGTTGGATTTTCAGTGTTACTAGATCATATCCTGAGGGTAACTCTTTGGTTAGTGATACAGACAGTTCATCTCCAGTTGATAGCTATATTAAGCTTTAGTGAGATACAAAACAAATGAATATTGAATGAGAAAAATAGGAAACATAAAGAGTGATTGAGTTGTTTTGTGTAGCTTCTCAAAATTAATATGTTAAGAGCATGATGAAGCACCTACCAGGATACAACAGTTGCTTCTTTTCATTCAGATCTCTCTCCCCTTGAGTTAAGTGAGGTACAGTACACAAGATACTCTGTGCTTCCAGTGATGCAATGATGGTTTAGAAAGAAATTGTGTCCAGATTGAGTAGTTTCATGGGATTGGTTCTTTTATTCAGTGAGAAGGAAAATTGCCATTCATTTTTATGGTATTGAAGTGTGAAGAGGAAAGATAACTTACTTGATATGTTAAGAGTTTTTATAATGTAAACTTGAAATTTGGATGATTAGATACTGAACAGTTTTGTATCTTCTGTTTAGCTATACTGTATCCTTTTTCCAACACTAATAATAGAAGGTGATGAGAGTCAGTGCTTCATAAACATTTAGTGAGGCTCATACAGGAAGTTTAAACTTAACTTGCCAAGATCTATACCAAGGATGAAAATTAATTGCAACTAAAGCCATTTATTTTTCTATTCATGTATTATGTTGGCAAGGTTTTTGTAGCTACTCGTGTAATCAACCAAGATTTGCAGATAAAGATAAAGTATAATTCTTTTGGTGTTTGTTTAAAAAACTTAGGGAAATTACTCAATGGCTGTGACAAATCCATTATTATCTAAACTGTTATAACTTCCCGTTGTAACCACAGCTCTTAAAAAGGTGTCTTTAAAGCAAAGGTTTAAGCTCAAGACCAACTGTATGCCATTAGTCCATTTGTTTCCTCCAGGATCAGCCCTCTCAGTCCAAACCATCTTAATGATTTTATAGCACTTGAGTAATTTTTTAGGCTGAGTCACACAGTCCTTAGTGTTTTTATCATGTTGAGCCAAGAGTTGTTAATGGTTACAAGACTGTACTGTATTAACATAATTTATGTTACAGTGGGGGAAGTTGGCCAATAATAACCCAACTGTGTAGTAAAGGAACTCTCCTAGTTCACAATAAGTAACTCTGTCTGTTTGGAAAAGATTGTAATTTTGACCAGGTGTGGGTGTTTGGCCCTGAACACAAAACACCGGTCTTTTGCTGGTATGGATTTCAGGAATATTTTTTCAGTTAGGTAAAGGGTAAACTGGATTTTCTCATATCCTCTATCAGGGTTTATTGTTTGCTTTCTTGTGCTCTGAAGAACAGCATAGCAGAACCTCTCAGTTTGTGTGATGGATCCTGGGTTAATCTTTCTGGACTCTGACTTGACACAAATTTGAGATTAAATGTATGCGTTGTCTTCTTCCTACAAAAATTGTAATGGCAAGAATAATCCTGAGATATGGTGACAGGGATGAGTTTTCTCACCATATGAAGACTGAATAGGGTCTTTTGAGATGAGCGCAATACTTAAAGAGCACATTCAAGGTCATCTTGTTCAACATTTTAACAGTGAGCCAGAAGGAAAAACACAGGTGTTTGTGTGAATTTCCTTATTCCTTGGAATAACAATAATTAATTCCTTGTGGTTACATATGGCACATACTTGAAGCTTAATTTTTGTCTCCTCTATATCTAGTTGGATTCAGATACACAGTTTAAATAGCACAGATGTAAGTTTGTTAAGGATGGATTGATCTTGGAAATCAACTTATAACCAAGTAATGAATAAGCATTTGTTATCCACCCCCCCAATGATTATATGGCACAGTTGGCTGGAACTGAGTGGGCTGATCCTAGAAATTGCAACAACTACTTACCAGTACAGTATGTGGCACAGACAATATGACATCTTGACTTGTTAGCACTTGTCATTTAATTTTGGTTACTCTTTAAGGGGAAATTTTTGCACTGAGAAATAACAATACTAACTTTAATGGAGATTAATATAAAAAGTATTGTATATCTGGTGTATGGTTATTGGTAAGGTAATAGTGAAGATTACAAGGAACGGGATGAGAAATATGTTTTTCCGAGTATTTATGGAATCATTAGTTTGTGCAGACCAGCTAATTTTCAAGTTGTGCTACGTTGTGGGTGTGGCCACGAAAATGCAATGCCAGCGGTGAAAAGGGCTGATAATGAATTTCTTTCCTGTGTAGTCGCTTTTATGAGTTGTTTGTGCCTATTAAAAAGCTGTAGTTTGCTTATTTCCTGTAGATATCCAAGTTTGATGGATGGATTGACAGATTAGATGACTGTATGTTTATTTAATTTGTTCTTTCTTTCTTCAGAACACAAATAGGTGCTTCCTGCTTATGTTATTGTACCAGTGCTGAGAATTCTTGTGCTGATAGTAGTGATGTGTAGAATACAGTACAGTACACCCGGATAATTTGCAGATTTTTATTTCACAGTCCTCTCTTATTTGTGGATGACACCCTGGATGTATCCAAGAATGTCTGCGAGTTGTTTTAAAGTTGCCGGCATTTTCGCTGCCGGGACAGCGAGCCATTCGTTCTAGATACATTAATTTCCTTTACCTGTATTGTATATGTGTGTGTATGTGTAGACACACACAAAACACATACAGATTAATAATAATGGGAAAATCCTCGCAAATAATAAAAAATAAATATAGTATTCAAAATGTTGGGTCTACCCTCAAGTCTACTCCGTGGTTTATTAATAACAAGGCACGGAGTAGACTTGAGGGTAGACTCAAAATTTTTAAGACTACTGTACATTTGTTTCTGATTATTTGTGAGAGGATTTTCCCATTATTATTTATTTGTATGTTTTTTGTGTGTGTGTGTGTCTCTACACACACACACACACACACATATACGTATATATATATATATACAATACAGGTAAAAGAAATAATTGTCCTTAGGGCAAACATATAAGGGAATATACATTTCTTTGTACACTCAGGAAAAATGTATCAGGCAGGAAATGGTTATCTTTGGGTGTCCTTTTGTCAGTGATGGGATGTGGTTTATAGATTGTGAATGCTGTGCTAAATATGCTTCCTGGCTCAAAGTTATGTTACCCACAGAATAGGATCATTGCTTGTGACATATGAGCACAGTATTGTATCTCAGTACTAATGATGATACACATAAAGACTACGTGAGTAGTTTGATCATGTACAAGAAGAATTAGTTAAGTAAATTACATTGTTTTATAGCTTTGGTACATGCGGAGGTAATTAATTTTTGGTGTCTACGAATGGGCTTAAACTTCCTTAATGAATGGAAAGGGTTGCTAAGGGTTCATACACTACCTGCATTGGTTAAATTTTTTTTAAAGGAATTAAGTCTTTTCATCATGTATAAGTAAAACTAATTATTGCTCACATTCTCTCATATGGGTTTATGGTTGGTTGGGTTGAGCAGCCCAGGATTGTCATAGAATTAAAGTTAATTTGACCGTCAGTTGTCAATCAGGTTGATGATGTGGGGTCGGGGCAGCTCCTTTATTTTGTCGAGTAATAAATTGACTTGGGAGCTCAAGTTGCCAAAGTTATATTAAACATTTTAAACTTAACTCAAAATCAGCACTACTTTTACACAAAGCTGTTTTATTGTCTGGCACCCATATTAAGATATGTAGGGACACCTAACCTCTGTTCAGATTCAGTATATGTTCTGTGATGTGAACTGTTCACATGGCAACTTAAGTGTATCACAGACCAGTATTACACTTGTCTCAGACCGGTGAAGAAAATGTATTGTTGTGGAATACTTTACTATCCTGTTGGTAGACTGTTCTACTTATTGTGTAATTTGCAGAGCTGAGCAAGTTGTTTAAGTCACATTAATATATATAGAATTATTTAAATCAGTAAATTAGTGAGCAGTCAGTAGAAATTTTTGTCTTCATTAATGAGTGAGTGACACAGTCAGGTGAAAAGCTGCTGACGCAGCTAATAAGCTCAACTGGTATTTACAGACTTCCTATTTTTAGCCTGGGACATAACTTGTATTTTGCATTTTCCTGCCTTAAACAACTCATTTCAAATCAATAAATCTATTTATTTCTTTGCAACCTTTTTGTAAGGTGGATCAAGGTGTATGGAAACCACAAAGAAAGAGGGAAATTGGCAGGGGAAGGGGAAAGTTCATGTAATGGATGCCAAGTTGTAGATAGTGAAAGGAAATGGCTGAAACACCAAGTAAAAACATTCCACACACAATTTCTTATACCTGTACTATATACCCAACTTGTATATGCAGTAGAAAAGTACATCAGATTTCCTTCATTTTTCTTTTTTTAATTTATGATTTTTCTGGCCAACTAATTTACTTGACAAGCTTGATTTTGTATTCCTTATGCTGCATTAATTGATAGAATACGTTGGGAGACACAAGTACAGTAGTGACCCAGTTTTTTGAGGCGTGGCATGTACTGGTATCCCTTCCCAAGAGTGATGTCATAGCTCCTTATGCCAACTCATGGAAATATTAACTAAATGCAGCATTCTCTTTGTTTGTAATATAATACTCTTTTATCAGAGCAACTTGTGTGGTGTTGCCTATTTTGAATGTAATGCTAGATTGAGATCGCTGCATGCGGGGGCATTAGTGAGATGGTGCAGGTTTAGTCTTTGTGTAGGTGGCAGTGCAAGGGAATGGGTGTGGCACAGGGCCAAGTAGGCTCTCCCAGACAGAAACACTGTCATACATCTGGCACTTGATATCTCACATGCCTACTACCAGCCATGAGTCAGTCTAACAGAAATATTGATAACCCACAAGGCTTCTTGTTTTTAATGGTACTGTATCCAGGGATTGTGGCTCTTTTTTTTTCAGTATCTATTGGCATTCTGGGAAATTTAAGCTAATTTTCCATAAGTGATCTTAATTCATTTCCTTGTGGGTCTTGGTATATTTAAGCTAACCAGTACCCGGTATATATTTGATGCCTGTACCCAACAGTATAAACAGTGCAGTAGTACTACCTATAAGGTTAATGCAATGCTTGAATCAAGTGAGTCTCAGTAGGTGATACAGTGTTAAATCATATTGATGAAAATGATGGTCAGGTCACTTATTATATAGTGCTGTAGTATCTAATTTATTGACTTGCTTTGAGTCATATATCTGTTGAAGATAAAAGTTTGGTATTACTAAAGATACACACTGGGCACAGATTCATGATTGGATACTCTTCACTTTAGTGAAATATATAGAATGAACCTGAGTTATACTTGTTTAACTTGATCTTTATTGTGCACGCACATCAATTGTAAAATTATCAATTTCATATACCCCGTACAAGAATGTTATTTATGCATTTATAGGAGTTATGAAATCTGTTAATATAATGGTTATAAGAGTTGCTGTGGCATTCACTTGGAGTCAGATTTGATTAATGTTGAGGAGTCTGGCAGTTTCACCGTGTAAGGAAACAGCCTTGCTGTGGAATGTGAGATATTGTAGTCCATCATGTTTCCTCATGTCTGCTTTGGCACTCTGTGTTGCTCCTCATATTTAGGTTGTGACTGATGTAATGTTTTCCAGTGTTGAACTTTGGGTTAGGGAAGAAACCCCAAATCACAATTAGAAAGACATAACTACTGTATTAAATTACCATTATATACTGATGAATTAATTAGCTAATACAGTACCTGTATATGATTCCATTCATACTGTACAGTATAGGTATTACCAAATTTTATTAATTTTCAAATTTATCCTGATCGTTGACTGAGATTTTGTTGCTGTTTATAGTTACGCATATCAAAATATTCTTAAAATTTTGATGAAATTTTTGGTTTAAGAAAAAAAATAATATTTGGTATATGCATGTTTGTTAGCCCTACATTGGGTATTACCAAAGCTGTGTTCCGCCTCATGCTAGGTCTGGGTGGCCTCACTGTGCAGGGTACCGACTACTTCCTTGTCTAAAAATATCTCACCCCAATCATTACACCTGTTCAGTGGAAATTATATTTGTTTTGTTTATTATACTGAACTGTATTAATGTCTCAACACGTATATTTCTAAATTTTTACTGGTATTCAATGTTGGAAGCACTATATTAAGTGTTGTTGGTTGATACCAGCACATTGGTTATTTGGTATCACATAATTTATTAAATTTACCTACAACTTTCCTCCAAAATTAGAATATAGTTTCCAGGCTACAAATATATTTGAGAAGCCCAAAGCTCCCATAACCCACAAGCCAGCATACCCTGAGTCCCAGTACAGTCGCAGGTCTATATATAGCTCTAGATGGCTGACGTTACCTAAAATAGTGCGTGGTAACCCCCAATCACCCCACCCTCTCCCTACTGCTGGTGAAGATAGTATAGAACCATTTCCTAAGGCTAACAAAATGAGTGTGGCTAAGTGATGTTGTCACAGTCTAAAATTGATGCTGTTATTTATTAAAGCTGTGCCAACACCCGGGTCTAGAAGCTTCCTCGGGATTGCGGTGCTTGATCTTGGCTTTGTGACTCTGCTTTAGTGTAATAATGATAAAGATTCCCATGTTGTACCAGGGCCCCTCTATGATAATGACAGGGATTCATAGATATTTTTTTATTTGTAAATAAAATAAAATTAATGCAATTCCAGGAAGGGATTTGGGAACCAGATAGAAAGGGGATATTGGTAAGTCAGCTCCTAGTGTAGATCTTGTACTAGAATATGTATTAATAGATTTCAGGAAAGTTAAAGCTGCAGTGCATTGACGATGGTTAGAGAAATGTTGACAATACTCATCTGACTCATCAATAATCCTGGAATGAAGAGTGACAGTTGCCTAAAAATCTTAATGCAGTAGATTAATCTTCTTTTTTTTCTGTTAGATTAAATGGAGCACTTCTAATTAATAGCTGTAATGACTTAGGAACACTAGATCTAGTGCCAATACTGTAAGCTGTTGAATGTTTTGCAGACATATTTATCGAAGAAAGCGTCAATGGTAAGTTAGCACGAAGGTAGTCTGTGGGAACACTTCAGCCTTCCTCCCCTGTCTTGACCCCTCACAGTTTGTATGTCACTAACAGTCATCTTAATATATAGGATGAACCAACCATGGGTTTATATCTCAATATTTTCCTCTCGTGTGTTTTATGGTCTTAAGTACTGTTTACGTTCCTCCAAATTTGAATGTCATATTAAAATTTCATATTAGTCTACAGGTGTGCGTCAGCTCAATCCTGTCATTAGCAACTTGTGTTATTACCCTGATGTGTTATTAAACATTCAAGGATCTTCAGAATCAAAAGTATACTGTAGATCTGCTTTCTATTTGTGTTTTTTATATATGGTTGAGGCAAAATACTGAGAACACCCTTTAGGACTGTGCTTTTATTCTTTGTGTTTGGAAGCTATATTGCCACTCTTAAAGTCAGAGAGTTATATAAACATTTTTGTGATGGTATGATACAGATGTGACTTTTGGGTGATGTATGGAATATCTACTTCTTGTAGTTTTAACCTACTTTTATCTCTTCTGTTATAATTATTTGTCTTCCCCAATATTAACCTGTTTTAAGAAATGTGTCTTAAGAAAATATTAACTAGCATTATTTTGAATAATCCATAAGTAAACTGTTTTATGTGTTTTTATTTATCTAACAAATGCTTATAACTAAATACTTAAAAGCAATAACTATGATGAGTTATTTATATTAGTTTAAACTAAATAATCATGCTATAATTTTCCCCAGTTCATTTCTAGTACTCACAACCAGTTAAATCCTTGGCCTTCACATCTCTCATGGACAGTTCTACTTATTGCTTAAGGTTTATTTCTCCATTTTTCACAAGAATTAAAAGTTAATGTTCTTTTATAGGCAACTGTCCTTGAAAGCTATCAATGTGCTTAAGCTGATAATGTGATATTTCTCCAGGCTGGTCGTATTCCTCCTGACCATCCACTGGTGGGAGGACACAAGGGCCCAGTATTGGATATTGCCTGGGATCCTTTCAACGATAATGTCATTGCTTCGGGATCAGAGGACTGTGTGGTCAAAGTCTGGCAAATACCCGACTATGGCCTGGTGACGTAAGTATGCGCAATGTTGTGGTAGTTGTATGGATGGAGTGATTTGGCTTTTGGTTTGATACTGCACACTTGCCTTGCATACAAGGGTAGAAGTAGACACCTGATGAATAGTTAAGTCATTCCATGCCTGGTATGCCATGACTTTTTGATCACATGTCTGATTCTACATACCGGGTAATTGGAAAAGTAAAAACACTGACCTGGTAATGAGACACATCTTGAGCACTTAAATCTTTGAATAATTTAGTTAATGATGTTGATGAAAAAGCGTAATGAAAATGTTCTGAGATAGTAACTTGACACTCATGTCCTAAGTTCTTGTGAATATTTATTTCATTGCTTTCGCTTCTGTGGAAAGGCATGCACATGTAAGTACAGTTGTATTGGTTTCAGAGAATATATTGTTTTGAAGAGCACTTTCTTTTCTTGTACAGCATGATGTATTATTTTAAAGATTTTATTTTATTTATTTTTTTACATTTGGTTATTGGAGACTTGGGGTACCCGAGGTTATGCTAAAGTCATCCAATAATCTTAATCTCTCTCTCCCATAAAAACATTTTGCTACCTCTTTCCATCCATCTGTTGTTTGTCATACTTTATCAATAAAATGTGTTGCCCCCCAGAAATTATCATCCTGTCATGAAGGTGACGGACATATTTAAGGTTCAAACATCATAATTGGGTATATCTCTGATTCTTCTGATTTAGGAACATCTTTTAGTTTTACTAATTAAATATTCTTATTCATTTTGTCAGTGGCTCCCACAAAAACATCAATGTTACTAAATTTAATATATCTATTTCTTCACTATCCACTTTGACTCGTATACATCCCTTTGCTTTTTGGTAATTCTTTTCCTACAGATACAAACTTCATAGAAATTACATTCTACAGGGTAGTAGGCTGTTCCATACCCTGTAACCCATCTCATCACACGGGATATCACATTATTTCTTCTCACTACCTTGTCTCATAACTAATCTTCCATTCTACCTGTCTTTTTTTTTTTGCATCCTTTATTATGAAATAATAAACCCTATGTTTGTGGCTTGACTTAATTCATGAATTAGGTACACCTTTCCTTCATAGCCAAGTCCATTGCAGGGTTCTTTTAAGATGATTCCCATTATTAAAAGTAGATGACAGTGAGTTGTGCCATAACACCAGCACTTGTGTACTGTGCCTGTCAATAAGATTTTAGTCATACCAGCATTCCAGACATTGATTATTCAGTCTCCACCATAACTTGTTGGTGCTCAAAGGGCTCATTGGCAGTGGAGCTAAAAGCCGTAGCCTCTACTTTCAGCACTTGTGAAGTCTTTGCTCCATCACTATGGGGATGCCACTTTTAAGGTTGATCCACACAGTTCTCAGTGTTTGTCGTTGTCTGTGAAATTTGTCTGCAATCCATCATGGAGGTCAGGGTATGGAACTTCTATTGTTACCAAAGTTGGATGTCGGTATTGTCATTACTAACTTATATACATATGACTCAAGCTTCATATTTTGGTGAAGATGATTGGTGCCATTCTCCATGGGGAAGCAGGTTCTTTGGATAGACAGTAGTTGATTTGATTTCCACATAATGCTACAGCTTGTGTGGGTGTAATTGGGGAGTTTGCAAGGTTACTTTTCTTATGCCCCCCCCCTCCATTGTAAAAAAGAAAAAAGAAAAGAATAATAGTCATCTCCCCTGATAAGGTGCATGACATATTAACTGGAGCATTTAGTGATGCCTCGTGACATTACCTAGTTGGCTTCAGATGTACCAGTCTCTTAAGGAGGGCATCAGCTCATAAATGAAGGAGTGGCCCTGAGACCCCATATATGATTGAGCCCAAACTGAATCACTTTACTACTCCCCCTTCTCCCAGTAGGTACATGAAATCCAACTGTAACAATGATTGATACCTGGAGTGCTGTCTGTTACCAAGCCCTTAGTTGACAGGAGTGGTGCTTACATGCTGTGGTTATGCTACAACTCAGTCTTTTTATTTCTAAAGATCCTCTTGTAATGGTTTGGCTCTGATGGGAAGATGTATCCAAGTAACCTGTGAGCCACACCCATTTATGACTAAGGGTTACCTGGAGTCTTCAATCTAAGGACTTTTGGTTATAATATGCAAATCTCTTAGTCTGGGCTCTGAGATTTTTGGTTAATCATTAAATTTTAAGTAACGCCCTTTCAGGCAGACAATATTTCCAACATAAAAGGCTTCTTTTTCTGAAACATCGTAATTTTTTTTTTCCATTTACTGTAAGTGCATTCTTTACTTAGCTACTTAAGAGCTTTTTAATTTTTTTTATTTTTTTTTGTGGTGAACTTAATGTTGAATATGTTAGTAACAGAATTCTTTATGCCACTTATCCTTGTAATAAATGATGAATAATTAATCAGAGATACTTCTTCATTGTTCTCTCAAGTGACCCCAGTCAATGTTTATGGTTACAGGACAATGACAGAGCCAGTGGTTGACTTAATGTACCATCAGCGTCGTGTAGGAATGGTTGTGTGGCATCCTACAGCCAATAACATCCTTCTATCAGCTGGCTCAGACAATATTGTTGTTATATGGAATGTTGGGTGTGGAGAGGCGCTTACCACCATTGATGCCCATCCAGATATCATTTATTCCTGCTGCTTCAACTGGGACGGATCTCTTCTCTTAACCACATGCAAGGACAAGAAAATTAGGATAATCAATCCACGGGACGGTGAAGTGTTTGAGGTAAGTGCACATTTTAGTTAGCATTAGAATGTTGTACATAAAATAAACACACTATTGGAGTTCTCAACTCCAGCAAAGAAAATCTCCCCTCAATTTTACTTTCAAGGTTATCTCTGTCAACCTTTGAATACTTACTATTTTTTTTTTCTATCCATTGATATGGATGTACATATCACATAAGTTTAGAATGGTAAATTGTATATTAGAGACAATAAAATTTTAAATTAATTGTACATCAGAGACATTAAAATTTTAAATAACCAGTGTACAATGGTATATACATTCTTTCAGGAAGCGACATCACATGAAGGTAGCAAAGCTACACGAGCCATCTTCCTGCGGAATGGATTGGTTTTCACAACAGGGTTCAGCAAGCGATCAGAGCGGCAATATTCCTTACGTGCTCCTGGCCACCTAGACGATCCCATCACCATGGTGGAGCTGGATTCCTCTAATGGTGTTATGTTCCCTATGTATGACCCAGATACCAACCTTGTCTACCTCTGTGGTAAGTGAAAATGACTGTACATAGATAACTTAAGAGAAAAAACATAGTGCATATTAAGCATGAAAGCCATTAATGTTCCTCATGTATCATGTTGTTGTATTCAGTATCTTTGTTAGATGTATATCAGAGTGACTAAACCACTGGTGAATGAAAGGAACCTTCATGTCCTGACTATGAGTTAAATGAAGTGGAACAACAAAGGAGAAATCTGCTGAGGACAAGTAAAGGGTGTAAAGTTAGGGATGTCAGAGGATAAGTAATGTACAGTACTGCACAACACAAAAAAAACAGTTAGTGAGGGAACAACCCTCTACAATGGCAGCAAAGCATGAATATATATATATATATATATATATATATATATATATATATATATATATATATATATATATATATATATATATATATATATATATATATAAAAGAGAGTTCTTACTGACTGTCACTAACATGCCAAGGAGGAAGGAAGATCAGCACCCATCCAGCAAATTGGTATCACAGCATAAAAAAAAGGCTTATATGTATGAAAAAAATAGTTAGAAATTTATTAAGAAGTTTAAAAGTACAGTATTGAAGTAAGAAACTTAGAATAGTCAGGTTGTACTGTAGGGTGTAGAATTTTATTTAGAGACTTACATTATATGTTTGATAGGATATAAAAGAATTTGACATACAGTTTAGGGGACTGCATAGTTAAGAGCATCTAACAGTAAGGGCATTAGTAGCTAGGTTTGTTGATGCTGAATTAGGCTAATGAAAGCTCTTTTAAGATTTCCAATTATCACCTGGCACTATAAGAGAGAGTGTAAAAATAATACAGTACCAAAAAAATAATGATATTAATTTACATTTCTCTTTTCTTGTTTTTTTCCATTAGGCAAAGGTGACAGTGTCATCCGGTACTTTGAGATCACGCCGGAGGTGCCGTTTGTTCATTACATCAACACGTTTCAGTTACCAGACCCTCAGCGAGGTATTGGTATGATGCCAAAGCGAGGTGTTGATGTTACTACGTGTGAAATCACCCGCTTCTACAGACTCAACAACAGTGGCTTCTGCCAAATTATTACCATGACAGTACCAAGAAAGGTAAATTACTGCCATGAATACTTTTAAATTCTTGTCATCAGAATGTCATTTCTGCTTTAAACTTACATAATTGTAAAATTATCCAAGCTTCAGAGTCCCATCATTTATTGATTTATAAACTGTGCTTCAAATTCAGATTATGGGAACATCATCATTTGTTCAAACTGATCAATGGAACAGTGGCCTTGCTTCAAAATCCCATCATCAGAAAATCATCCTTCCTTTTGTTATTTAACTCAAGTTTGTAAACCTACCATACAGTATTATGTGTGTATCTCCCACATACTGTGTTGGCTGGATCAAGGCATACAGATGCCTCATAGAAGAAGGGAGTACAGTAATAGAGAAAGGTGAAGATGATAACATTATTTTAGAAATATTTATTGCAACTTTTTAAAAGGTTATATATATGTGTGTGTGTGTAAGATGAATAGTAGATAAATCTGACCACCAATTATATTTCTGTCACCAGTCTGAGTTGTTCCAAGAAGATCTTTACCCCGACACCCCAGGTGATATTCCTGCAGTGAGTGCAGAAGAATGGTGGGAGGGCCAGACAAAAGAACCCATCCTCATGTCTCTCAAAGGTGAGTCTTGTAAACTGTGACAAACTATCATTTACCTTCCATTTCTTGTTAACACAATACCTTTTTACAGTTATGTGGAACATATGCAAAACCTCTTTCAAACTCCAATCTCACAGCCCATCTTCACTCATTCAAACTCTCATATTGAATTCCAATCTATATACAGTTTTTTCAGATGCAGAAATGTATGAGAAAGTTCAGTATTTTATAAAAAGATATTATGGGTGAAAGATAATCAAGAATCAGATAGTGTTTTTTAATAATAATAATAATAATAATTGAATTTGGTTAGATGGCTACCAGGTCACACAGAAGACAGAGCTCAAGGTGACCAAGAAGACCAATATCCTAGACAGGATGCCACCCACAGGCAAAGTAAAGTCCGAAGAAGATGGAAAGGCAACTGCTCTCTCTTCCGAGGCTCTTGAGAAGGTCACTGAGGTGAGTTTTGTAGCATTAATTTACTACATTTTCATAAACTTAACAAAATAAGTGTTATGGAGTTGGGTAAGGATAACTCGTCTAAGCTAACTTTAACAGAAACCAAAGGTTAGTTTGCCCATGTTAAAAAAGGGGGTTCCTGGTTTTGGATAATTGGCTATTTGTAGTAAAGAGCAAGATAAATAATTGATTTCTTCTTTCTATTACTCATATTTAAGTTCAGTTTATTAACATATTACATTTATTTAACAGGTCTCCAAAGTGAATGATGATCTCAGGAAAAGAATAGATGAGTTGCAGACTGAAATGAAAAAATTCAAGGCTGTGTTCCTGAAGCAGGAGAACCGGATCAGAGTTCTAGAAAACAAGCTTGGGGAGCTGACTGGAACTGGTGGAGCCCCAACTCAGACACAGGTCAGTTTAATTAATAGGCTTTTAGTGTCTATAAAAACTTTTGCAGTAAATATGATTTTTATAGTAGTCTTATTGAATGGTTTGTATTATTATTTTAGGTACCTATTTGGATTTTAGACAAAACAGAGATATGTGTGATGAACATGTAGGTTGAGATCAGTAAAGTACCGGTATGTCATAATATCTCAGACAAAAGGATATTGATGCTGAAAGGTGCTCTTGAATGAATAAGATGTGTAAGTGGGTATTAGTATTGCCCATCCTACTTGAAGGCGAATAGTGATCTTAAGTATTAATATTACCACACTGTATGCTGGTTACTCTGTATGGTTACTACCTTGCTAGCTTCAACTCCTGATCAGGTAAACTATTACTAGAAGTTATAGCATGATTGATATTCAGTATATATTTGTTGGTATTGGCAAATAGTATTTAGTGTACTACAGTACTTTAATATTAGTTTGTAATGGGACCGACAAATTTAAGTAAAAGGGGGGAGGGATTTGCCCCCCTGTAGTGTGCCATATACTTGTTTATAGTCAGTATTAATGTAAGTTTCATGGCATTGCCATTCAATGTGCTGAAAGTCAGGCCTTCTTGTAAGATATGGAAGACAGTTACCTCTTATGTCAAGTTTGAAGCTACCCAGTATTATAGTGGTAACCCCTTCGCTACTTCACACATTATGAATTGTTAGAGTAATACAATAATTTTTTTTTTACACTAACAAATAACATGCTTATATAATGAATAATAACAAGCCATCTTGTATCTTCAAAAGTGAGAAAAAATTAGTACGTACTGTAGAGTCTTTATTACAATATATTAAAGCATTGTATGGATACAGAAATCCTTTGACTTGATTGGATGAACATTGGCACCTGTATTTGGTAAGGCTTTAACTTATTTACTCCTCTGTATTATTATTGGTTAGTCATTGTTGTCATCTGTCATCAATATAGAGAATATTGGCAAGCATAAATGGAGTTTCCTATTGCTGCATAAAAAATATTGGTAATTTACATAAGTCAGGTGGTCTGTCTTGATAGGCCAATACAGTCAACCCTCGCTTTACGCGGTCCCACTTTACGCGTTTCCACGTTTACGCGGTACCCTGCCAAAACCGGAATGCTCACTTTCCGCGGTGTGTGTACCCTTTTACGCGGAGAGCGGCGCGAGCAGGGTGCGCACAAGGTCGCCCAGTCATCAAAACATTACCAAGTTCTTCACCCGCCACCCACCACAGCTGGCCCAAGTCAGTGATAGTGATAATTATAGTGAGGATATGGACTTATATGGACTTTGAGGGGTTTGACAAAGAGGCCCTGCAAGCCTCTGTGGTGGATAGTGATACAATTGATACAAGTGATACAGGTGAGGGCCAATAATCTGCCCTCTGCCTCGGAACCAACCCCCCATCCCTGTGTGCCCAGCCATCTTTTCTACTAATGTAAGTGTTAAAAGACCTAATATTATTGATATTTCTCTTAATTATTAATTGTGTGTGCATACCATCATAAAATTAAGAAGTTATTTTTACTACAACGTAGGTATTGTGTCTGAAAAAGTGGAGTTTGGGGGTCGGCCCGGTCTCTATTTCAATTAATCCCATATATTATGTTGTTCACTTTACGCGTTTCTCACTTTACGCGGGCCGCCGTGGGTTGAATTAACCGCGTAAAGTGAGGGTTCACTGTACCTGTTTTAACAAATAGGATTGGCACTCTTTCTAATGGATACCAAGCCTAACAGATCTGAATCCTAATGGTAAGGTTTCGTTTGGACCTGTCAAGACTGGGACCCATTTAACCTGTATTTCATTGACAACAAATACTAGACAGATGAATGCCAGGGTGAGGACCTGCACTTAAGATATGAGATAATAGGAAGATATTTTATTAACTGTGAGCAAAAAGGCGATGGATCTTGAATATTACCACAACATAACTGAATATCCTGGTATGCTTCACAAACTATTTAATGGGAGCCTAAGCCAGGGAAAGACTATAAGAATTGAATATATATGTCTGTGTAATGGTGTGTAAAGTATTTTTGCTGTCATAAGTACATCAAAGTAGTGAAGGGGTTGTTACCTAGTATAAATGAGCGTGTCTTATGGCTAAACCCCTAGGCATGTCTTGTCAGTTGAATATATATATAGTTTTATCTTGTTTTATTAGAGTTACGAGCCATAAATTTTAATAAGTGTTGTTGATTATGAGATGAAATGATTAAGTGGAAGTTTTTTTTAATTAGATTTTATTAAATATTTTTAAAGCAAAAAATATTTATAAAATCAAAACATTTTGTAGATAATTTTAAGTTTGAATTACCCTGATTGCTTATTCCTGGTTTCACTGTTGGTAGTTTATCTTGTTACTGAAAGTTACAAATCCTGATAAAATTGAGGCTTTGGATTTTATAACCACCTAAGCACAGTTACTTAGAAGAAAATAAAAAGAAGTAATTTTGTAGACCTGTTTCTTAACATATCCAGGGTGTCTTGCAAATCTGACCATAATGGGTTTTAATAATGACAACAAAGATTCTAACTACATGCCATCCTGCTGTTGATATCTATGTTAACTCTCATACAGGGAGGCACAGTATGAGCATAAGATATACCATTACCAGAATATCTTCAGCAAGTACTCACCTGTTGCTATACCTCATTATACAACAGAATAGTCAGAATTTGTATGGCTTGTAGTTTGAACATTTATTGACGGTATTAAAACTCTTTGGGGCTAGAATATTTGTTCACCTTATATGGCTAATGCTTTAAATAGTGACCCATCAGATTTACTAATTTGTACTGGGTATGTATTTCTGTGGTGGCATAAGTTTACATTGGGTGTAAACATGGGGTGACCCTCTATGTGATGCCAGGCCGTAGAAGTGGGTGTCCAATAATTATCAGTTAAAAGCTTACGTATGGAAGTTAGAACTGAGCCACAAACCCAATATGTAATTCACACACTGGAAGAACTTGACCAACCAGGTTTATATATAGTGTACTGTATGAAAGTTAAACTAGAGCCACTTAATACATCATCTTGTACAACTTGACCTGAAATTTGAATACAGTACAGTATACATATTTTAGGTGTTATTTAAGGGATTTGCACAACCTCTTAAAACCAAACAGAGCAATAGCATACTATATATTTCAGTATATGTTGAAGCATAGGAGAATGTAGTTATGGATGTCACAGCCTCATGTAGAGAGTAGGTATGGTGTAATATCAATCAAGGTTACAAAGTTGAGTGGTAATGGATTTTGAAATTGAAGTTGAAATCAAAAGAGAGGAAAATTAGCCAGAAGAAGCTGCTGAAAGTTGACTATTAGGTTGTGATTGGTCGAAAGGCACTACAGGATCATCAGCACCAGTTGATGTGTGTTAAAGAGAGATAGCATCTTTGCACACTCACATCGCTCATAGCCGCTTGCAGCAAATTCACAATACCCAGAGTTACATTACTGTCCAGTCACATCAACCATAGCCCCTCAGCAATTATTAAGATCCCAGTCTATGGTTTAAATTAAGGTATAAGGTAAAGTGGATTATGATCAACCTCAACTAGCAATTAACAACTAATCATTGCATAACATTAGTTAACAGCATTTATATAATTAAGAAGAAAAGGTGTAAATGTATGATGTAGTGTAGGGTATGTAAGGGAGGTCCAGAGAGCATGACAAAACTAGCTGGTTTGATGAGTAGTGTGCCAAATTATTTTTGGGGGAAACTTCTTATAACAGAACAGTATATGATTTATGAGTGTACAGTTAGTAATTCAAATTATTTGTGTCATTTGCACATGCACCCTCACACACACACATTAAATGCACATAACCATACTTAACACGTACCTACAGTAAGGCCACCTCATTAATTGATACACTAATGACTCATATTCACATTAATTCATCTTTTGTTGAAGCATCAAATAAGGAGTCTGTTGATTGAATGTTTAATGAATTTTTTTTTTAACTTGGAATAAATGAGGTATGATGATATGCTCTACACCTGTACCATCTTTATACACAAACACACACACAGTTATTTATTAGTAATATTGGAATTGCCTCCGTTTTTTTTACATCTGTATTACTACTGAACGTACCGGACAATGGTGAACAATTGATGAGGAACCAGAAATTTTTAATTCTTCTGGTTGTATACCTGGTTGGAGCAGTTAAAGACTCCTGGCATTTTATTATATAGACCACAACCTCATCCTTCACTGTAGGAATTGCTTGTCCCCAGTGAAAACCTAGATCATCTCTGTTTGCAATCATTTCAGGGTAGATTGCATTTCTCTTTATTTAAGGTGAAGTAGAAACTGGGAGGAATACTGTACTGTTAGGCAGAAGCTGTGGGAAGAATTACCATACCTTGCTGTTAGATGAGGGAAGTAATTTGTCATATTTGTCTTGTTGGGCAGTTATCCCAAAAGCCATTGGCAAAATTAGGCACCGGACTCCCAGCACATACTGCAGTTTTTACTACAGGAGCACATTAAGTTACCAGATGTCTTTATTTCATTAATATCCAGGCATGTGTATTTGACACAAGTATATATATTGTTAACCTTCCTGTTATTTCCTGACAAGGGGATATATCACCTTCAGCAGTTGTGTAGTTTTACATTGATGGTGGAGTTCCACTACTCCTTGGTGCTAATTATACCTCATCTTCAGATATACAGTACATATTAATGACCTTATCCTAACACCAGATGCTGCATATGTTAATAATCTTTGCAATGCTTGCTCATGCTGCTGTGCTCCTAAGATATTTACTCATCCTAAGCAACATAATTTTATTGTTGCCTTCACTCTTCAGTTTTCATCTTGCAGGTGTTTCATTCTTGGGAACTGACTTATAACATTTCTTTCCTCTCATCATCTGTTGGGCATCCTCAGGGTTTACATACATTTTTTACTACAAAATCTGCAATTTGTTACACTACAAATCTTATTAAATATACCAGAACACCTCTGGAAAGGTATTGATAAAGAGCTAAGATCACCCAACTTCTTAGTGGGATATCACTGGTAAGAGTGAAAAATGTATTGCATGTGTTCAGGCTTTTACAAACCAGCTGTGTTCAAACTCTTTCCTACTCCTGTCTTTATACATTTTTTGTAGGGGGGGGGGATTCTTATGTTACTGATACTGTATTTTTTTCCTACTCTGAACAGTATTTAGTACCATTGCATTATGGTCATCAGACATACACATGATTTATGGAATTTTTGAGGTTGTGGTAACTCAGATTTGTTTTCGAAAATTTACCAATGGTGGAAAAAGTTTTGATTGATAATTAAGTTTATTGTGACGTGTAGTTGCTAGTTAAGCTTAATGTCATACTGATTTATTAATAATAATAAACATGAATATTGTAAGTTTCTAAGAAGAATATAGTACAGATAGCACTAAGACAAATGTAAAGGGTGAGGGGGCACTTAAAGGACACATTCTCAATATTTGAGCTGTTCCCCTGTCTTGTATAAAGTAGTTGACCCAAGCCTTCACGCAGATTAGTCACATGGTTTATTATTTTACTTATGACTTCTCAGATTAGTTTTATGATATTAATAGCACATAGGACTTCATTTATGAATTTTATAGTTAACAAAAAATTTCCACAGTTTATATAAGACCACAAACAGATTAATTTACAGAAGACTTGACATATCTGAGTTTCACAATTTCAAACAGGATAGTATCACGCTTTATTGGGACATGGAACTTTCCTACAGATTTGTTTCATTAATTAAGTTTGTGATAGTACAACAAATAACTTTCCTCTGACTGCCAATCCAATTAACTTACCCCATTAAGGTGAGTTATGTACAGTATGTGCTGTGTGAAAGATAAAGGTAACTTTTTTCTTATTTTTTTAAGGTGTAATTGTTCTATATGAAAGGAGAACAGGAAGAATATGTAGTAAAAATGGGGTTGTCTGGAATAATTAAATGAATTAAGTGAATGTTTATTATGGTAAAATATTTTTAGATCAAGGATTCTTTTCCTGTACAATGGGTTAGTCAGCAAACATATCTCTTCTTGTCATGCTTCTAGCTTTTCTTCCTTTTAAGTCCTGATTATGCCTTTATTGTGAATCAATTTAGGATATTTGTAGTATGTATGTATATATACCTTAGTATATACTGTATATTTATGTATACGTCATAAGTACTGTATGCCCTTGATATATATTTTTAACATTTATGGTGAATGTACGCTAATGGAACCATAATTTTCTCCACTATTAACTTGTACAGGCCTAACGATGGGTTCAGGTAGCTGGCTGTGTTTCTTCCTTCACAGTTACTGCTATTTAATGCTAGATATCAAGGTGTCTTACTTTCTGTCTACAGACCTAAAGTTATTGAGCAAGATACATTTCACTCTGTCATCTTCCTTAGGCGTCTTTGCTTTATCTAAATGCATGACATGTGATCTCGATGGAGCACTCATGTACCCAGGGCTTGCATGTGAACTGGGTTTGTGCATTCTATATATCTTTGTCTTTTTATCATTAATTATTTAATTGCATTTTTATTGCCCTGGCTATTAGATGTTTTTTAATAGATATTCACATTATATTTATATACGGGTATATATATATATATATATATATATATATATATATATATATATATATATATATATATATATATATATATATATATATATATATATATATATATATATATATTGATTGTATATAAATTGGTTGCCCTAGTGACCATGTTACCTCTGAATTACTGTGAGTTGGTTGAGTTACCTTCATGTACCCTGGTAAAACATTGTCAGCATCAAGACATGATTTAGTTATGTTTATTGCAACTTGCTCAAAATGTATTCCAGGGTAAAAAAGGGACCTCTAAGAGTGTTAAGAAATAATTCGGAGGTGAAAGAGTGGAATAGTGTAATAGGTAAGGGGAAGATTGGCATAATGTACTAGGTAAGGGTAATTTATTGGGCTGTCCTTATGGCCCTTGCCTGCTTTCTTTTCTCTTTTTCTGAGCCTGAATCATACATGGTTGTTGTTGTTTTGAGTTGTTTGAAATTTGTTATATGCATGGGTTAAGGGGGGAGCAATTGGTTGACATTTGAAACTTTTTTTTATATCACTGTCATCTCACTTCATTGTATCGTCTCAAATGTACACTAATGTGATTTGTTTATATATTTTTTAGTATAGCATGTGCACTGAAAATTCTTGACTTTTTTTTTATTCTTAGTAAATGTGTACTTGGTGGGAAAAAATCGGTCATCTCACTTGTGACGATAAATATAATTATGGTATTTTAATGGATTGAAAAGTAGTTTTATTTTATGGGTGGCATAAGCAAATCAAGATGTCAGTCCAGATAAAAGCAGTCTTATCTTTAGGCTTGAGTGACCCCCCACATCCACATTACCTTACAACAAAAAGTTGAAAAGAATGGCCATCATGTTTGTTTTTGCCTGTAACCCCCTCTGCTCCCCTTCCCTCCATTTTGCAATTTTCTGTGGGTTTAGAATACATATCCTTGAAAAACTTTTGTACATTCATTTCAATTTTCCCACCTGTTTGAAATTAACTCATTATACTGTATTGGAATATCCATATCACCAATGGGTTAAATTTTATACAGGTTGAGTTTTTTTAGTTTTTTATTTATGTTGCTGTTGGGGTGTTGCAATAGGGTAGAATTGACTTAATATGACTATTTCCCTCTTCTCAGCAGTACCTTCAAGATTTTCTTCAATATATTATGCTAGTAATAGGTATTAGGAGTGTAGATTTGATTTATTTTAGATTACATATTGACAATTATAGTTTTCAGAACAAAATGAAGGCATATAGATAGAGTTGTGGTATCTTAATGTGTAGTGAAGCAAGGTTAATTGCTATATACTCTTGCCTGATGTGGGGTTATGGGAACTGGGCAAACAGGATGCAAATTTAAGGGTCTGGTTGTGAAAGGATAATACCATAGCAAAACTAATCTATTATATCAACTAACATGTGTAAATGTTGATGAATGTGTTGCTCTTGCTCTCATCACTCCCATACCTAGGAAGGAATAGACTTGCAAGTAAATTTTTGAAGTACTGGTGGTTTATGGTCTGTTTGGTTTGTGTTAAGAAAATGATAAAGCATTGAAGTTGAAGAGGGTGCTGTTGGTGCTGTGGGGTTTTTTTTTTTTTGTATTGGTTGACAGTGGTTGAGATGAGTAAGATAAATTTTGTGTGCTATTAGGAATAGTTGAAGGACTATGTAGTGGTGAAAAAAATGGAGGAATGTTAGAGGAGCATTGGAGATATGATAAATAAGTTTTGGGTGTTATGAATGTGTTTCGAGTGATGATTGAGATGTATAAGAATAGCCGAGCTATTAAGGGTTTTGAAATTCTCCCTTTGTTTGACTGTGTTTTGAAAACAAGTCTATCTCATAATGAGAAGGGAATCTAGAGCCTTTCATGATGTGTTGATGGGTTCCTCCAGCTCATTTACATCTGACTTGATTTGTTCAGTCTTCAGGTACAGTCGCCGACATAATACTCTTGACACATCTGGCAGCTAAATAAATTATTTTAACATTATTGGTTTCTTTATTATATGTATAATATCAACCGTTGCTAAAAGAATCGATCACTTGGTACTGACTATTCATGATGGCCTTTACGTCCATGTTTTACCAACACTGGGGATACACTATGGACATATAAGGTGTTGTCAGATGCTACCAAATGTGTCGACAGTATTTTGTTGGCAACTATACATCTACTTGATTTTATCTGCCTTCAGAGAGCTGTCAAGTGGTTAGGTGCAATCACTGAAAATCACTCTCAGTAAAGCCTGTAGATGACCAAACAATATCATTTTCTGTGTGATTTAAATTTAATTGATTAAATATTGTCTCTTCTTTATGGTGCACCATGGTGTTACCTACAACATGTTCCTAAGCATTGTTAATGAGTTGTATGACACTCAGGAGATCCTTTCTTGTGACTAGAGAATCGGGACCACACTGCCACACCTGACTAGTTTGGCCTCAGACAACCAGATTGAGGGATGAGTTGGAAAAGTGTTGAAATTTTAGGGACATGAAGTTGTGTTAGACTTTTGGAGATATGCCAGAAAATAGTTTACCGTTGAGGAAAGTCCTTGTATGTCGAACAAATATTTTATCCATAGATATGAATGGTGATTTACATGGAATGAGTCATGTTTTCTTATATTATTTCTGAGTTTGATTTAATGTTTTGATAAATTTAAAGCTTGCATTTAACTCAGGACTAGCTGATTTTGGTAAATTATAATCTAGTATTACTTACAGGAATTTATTAGAGGCAAGTAGTGTATCTTTTTTATTTAGAAAGTTATATTAATATTTTTGTATAGTGTGTATTTGTGGAGAATTTGAGTTATAAAACATAACAAAAGATTTTTTTTAATCTTATTATGAACCAAAAGAGGTAAAGTGATTGTCATCTAATTTCATGCAAAGTTCCTCGGCTGTCAAATTCTTACTATTGGAAAAAAAAATAATGGCATTCTGGTACATTAATTCTTCAAATGAATAATTGTTTTTGCTTAAACAACTGTCATTTGAGTTGATGCTTTTTTTAATAACAATACTGTACTGTACATTATTTAGTTTATGTAGGAGTCATCATTACCGTATGTCTTTTAGGTCAAGAGGGACACTGAATCAAACCATGTGATTCAAAATGATCTTTGGCTTTAGGGATCAAGCCCTGCAAATAGATGCTATACATTCCCTACATATAGAAGGATGCGGCTAAAAGTACATTGATGTTGAAAAGCATGCTTGTTTGATGCACCTCTTCCACATCTCATGAAGTTGGGTTAGAAGTGAGATTGATAAATTGGGAGATAGAATGTATAGAATCATTCTGATTGTGAGTTTTTCCACTAATTTTTGCTTAATAAAAGTGCTCAGAGATATGCTCAGGGCCAATGAAATTTTTTAAGTTTGTCATCGTACTGTAATATTTTTATTTATTTATTTTTGTTATTTTCATAATTTCTTGCATGGCACCATTCTAAATTAACTATTGCAGAATATACCAAACAAAATGCTTTTATAATGTTATCAAGTTTTTATTGTCATAATTTTTCTTGCGGGGTCAAAGATAGATCTCATAGGTATAATATACTGTAGATATCACACAGACCCTCACATATATTGGACATCCTCACATTCCCCTTCACTAGTGCATTTACAGGGACTCAACAGGTTTTTTTGCAGTGTGGCAACCCTGTGTTTGTTTATTCGACAGAAGGAAACTCGCAATCGTAAACATACTATAGAATCAAGTTAAAACTATATTAAAACAAATTTCTCAAAGATAATGATTTGTGAAATGTTTATGTGACAAGCCATTGTAAATGCACTAGTGAAGGGGGACTGTACACGAGTCTTAGACATATTCAGAGACACTATGAAACAAGTCTCACAGACACCTTACAAATGAAGGATATGGGAATAGGATAATCTTACTGTGAAAAGATATTGTGCAACTTTACAAAGTTTTTCATAACCTAACAAACATATCCTGAGTGTAGGACAGATAGACACCCTTGAACATCTTCACCCTTAGATAATCAGGCAGATACATTCCCTGTAAACATTTGGAATTTGTAGGGATGCCTTTTATTCATGAACATGATTCAAAACATTGCACATACACAGTGTTTGAATTGTTTGTTTTGTAATTAATTAATAAATGATCTTACTAATAACAATTTGGTAAGCTTTGTGCTTTACAAACTCAGGAGTAACACTTAGCTAGAATAAGGTGACAAAGATAAGAGAGAGTAAAGATGCTTGCAAGTGGTCTATGTAATGGTACTGTAATGCATCATATATCTCAAATTAGGGTGCGTTGTTTTTTCAACTATGAAACTGGACCACTTCATGTCACACTAGATGTAGTATCAGGTGGTGTTAGAGCATTTCTCTGTGTGAAACATGCTGAAGTTGCCTTGCATGTACTTAATTGTTTTTCGTTGCTGGATGAACAGGTAGCATGGAGAATCTAATTGCGTATAGTACCTCATATCCTACCCCATGGAGGATAAGACGTCCATACTACCTGGAATTTGATGAACTTTGGTGTGAATTGAGAGATTTGTAATGCAAGGTATATTATCCATAGATTTTGATCTCTCTAAATTGGTGTTTCTCAGTCATGTAAGTAAACAGTTCTCACTCTCTATCTTTTACACACGTGCTTGCTCCATCGGCCGTATGATTGATGCGTTTTACTTCAAATTCATGTTAAGATTTTAGTCAAGAATAGAAACTTTTGGTCGGTGTCAGACTTTGAAAATATGTACTGTAATAAAGTATTTCTTTATAAAATGGACAATGTGAGACTTGAAAGTTGGAACCTATTTTAATGAGCATTTTTTTTATGTGGAATACCGTTTAATTATAGCAATTATTATATTTTTATTTAAATACATTTTCATTTATTTTCTTTAATGGGCTTGTTCATAATTTTCCATCATCTCACTTTATTTTTACTAAGAATTTTTGTAGTGGTACCTGTACACATATCTAAAATTACCTTAATATTTATCAAAGTAAACTTGTCAACGTACTAATACTTGATTAATACAATTCATGTAAATCAAAGTCGTAAGAAGCCAGTGAATCACTGTTTTCATTCACATGAAACAAAATTCCTACCTACCAACTTTTTAATTTTGACTGCTTCCAGATGTATGGGGAAAATCCTGTCTAGTAATAGCAGAATTTAAATGGATGCAAATTAGCTTGTGGAAAGTAGAGCCCTTCTATTCCAGCATGTCATGTTTTACAGAGCAGGATTTACTTTTTTGTCCCAGATTCACGACTTATAGCAGCTCCTCTATGGGAATACAAGTCTGGGCTTAGGGGTTCATATACAATATTGTATTCATTGTTGTAACACCTGGTGGAAAATATTTGCCCAAATATTTTATTTTGACCAACTACAGTATTTTAATATTAAAATAAATTAATTGCAGTTGTATTACAAGCATAATTTAACATACCACAGGGGTATGGGATAACAGTATAAGGTGTGTATTATCAAAGAACATATTGATGGTGTGATAGAACAGCCCAGGTTGTATCCCCGAGCTCAGCTCCTCCCACTTGCACCAGGGTTGATGCCCCTATCTGTCCACCAACAGGAGATGGTGCCTGTCACATCTTTATACAAAATTCACTCTGTGAGGAAACAACCCGTGCAAGGTTATGTGGTGCATGTAAGTAAGGGCCTCAGTAGTGCGCGTGCATGAGCCCAGAGCTCTACCGACTACCCTTGTTGCCATGCTCTCTTGCGGCACGTCATCCAACTCTCTCATGTTGGCCCAACGCTCCTCTTGGCATGAGTTGTAGCACCCACCATGAGTTGTGGCAACCACCATGACCTGTTGGCCTGTTTGCCATGCCTATCTTGTTCCCACTTCGTTTGCCATTGCATTGAACCTTGTTGTCGTGTTGTCTCGTTATTTTCCCTGGTGTTCACATGTGTCATTGTAGAAGTATAAGTTTTGTTGTTCAGTTTATAAACATATTTACTATAACTTAAAAAAGTTCTAACATCAGCTGAATAATTTAATTCTGTATTATTCAATGTGTATATTATATTGATATATATTTCATAACAGCTTTTTATTTTATTTTTTATTTCATTGAAAGCGTAACTTAGTTTGTCAGCGCAATTCCTCTTTTTATTTTATTTTATTTTTTATTTGGATATCTCTTTTCTCCAAATTCTAACGGACCCAACTAACACAGACATATTTTGCCAGGCCCCAAGCACTCTTTCTGCCAACACGGTCAACAACAATTGTGACATGGCCCCAGATGAGGTGTAGATGCCAGAGACTTCCAGAACTGAGTCCCTCTGATACAAGAAGCTGGTGATGTTTATGTGAGCTATGGAGTTTGCACTCACCATGCAAAGTCCCAGCATCACACGGCCAGTCACACGCAGAGATATGGGAGGAATCACTCTTGGGATATTCACAGCTCTCACAATGAATCTTCTCACCGACGCGTAGGATCGTAACCGTGTTAATTACCGTGTCTTATTATGTAGCCAGTTTACAAGTATACTTGAGAAAGGTTGTACAATACAAAACAGTAATAATATCTTCTCGAGAGGTGTGTGACTGGTGCCTTGATTGATTAGTCATGTGTGAGCCCAGTGAGTGTGAAAACCCTGTACATAATGTTTGTGTTGAGGACTCTCAAGTCCATTGCTCAGTAGTAACCAACCAGCTGTCCAGCCATAGCCACATGTCTTATAACTTGCTATTGGTTGTTGTCAGCCATAGCCATTTGTCTCATCATAACCTGCTACTGGTTGTATGTTCCAAACCCTGTAGGATGTTAGTATCTCTGTCTCCCTTGTAATTAGCTAACAGGATTGTCACTGTCTTTCCACTAATAATTTTCATAAATACAACAGTTGAATGTGATTGTTATAGCTGAGTATAAACTATTTAATATTTAGTCATAAATGGAATTTTAAAATCTGGGAGGGTAAATGTCTACTGTACAAAATATCTGTACAAAGTTGTACAATTTTATTATTAAACTCCTTTCCTTAGAGAAATAAGTAGATAAAGAAAGCAAAATTTTAAATAGTTACTGGAAATAGACCCAATTTCCATAGATGTAAAAATGTTTGATACACAGGCTCGACTGAAATTGCTGGCTGCTTTTTTATTTTTATTGTTACTTACCTCCTCTTTATTTGGCTCAGTGCAGTTCCTATGCAGAGTGCCCGCTTATTAACAGCCACTAGTGAGGTTGACTGTAGCTTTATTTGTGTAACCATTAGGTTGATCATGTCCATCAGGTTATGGTTACAGTGCACCCCATTGTAACTTGCTCTGGCCCAAGTACTGAACTGCCATAGACAGTGGCTCAGAAAGGTCGACTCTAAACCCAGGTTGTCTGTACTGGCTAATCAGGGTTCAGACTTGGATCTCATTTATCCTGGCGTTGTGGTTCAGACTTGTGACCTTGTTGTCCTCATCTTTCCCATACTTCTGAGTATCTACCTTTGCCCAGTATCATCTGGTGATTTAAACTATTTATTAATATTTGATGTGTTAGACTAATGTTTCCCTGAGTATGGTGGGAATATCATGGAACACAGAGGCAGTGATGTGACAGATTCTCAGGTGGCCATAGCTGTGGGGAACTTGGGACATCACTAATGGTAAATGACATTATTATAAATAAGTATTTGCTAGGACATTGAGCATTGTTCACCTACTGCAAGACATACTGGGTGGTATGCTTTGTCGGCTTGTTCATGTCATCACTCCCGTGTTCCCGTCACTGGTCACCACCCTGTCTTAATGTTCCTTTGGAGAGGTGCTCAAAATTAGCACTGGTAATTTGTGTTTACAGCTTATTTTGTTGTCTTGCAGATGGTAACCATTTTTTTTTGTCAGATATGTAAATCAATTACTATTGCTTTATGCCTCTAAACAGGGAGGGATATTGGAATTTATTTTTATCTTATGTCTTATTATTATTATACTAAAAAGGATGGACAAATGAAACAAATGTTTTAGATTATATAAATATATTAAATATTCAGATGCTAAAGAAGGTAAGCTGTAATCCCTCGACAGGAATGATCCACTCAACACACATTAATTTAAGCTGTAGATACGAGAATCCTTGTTTTGAAGCCAAAGCCTTTGTAAAGTAGCTGTGGGCTACATTCACTTTGTTTTAAAAAGTTTTTATCATCATCAGAAAAGGAATATGCAGCGATTTTTACTTTTAATGATTTTTAACAAATTTGAGTCACTTAAAATACTAGTCTGCATTTTTCCTGGGATGATAACATGCTTAGCGAAAGTTATTCTGTATTGTTGTGTTCATTAGTAAGGAGTGGGGTAGTGAAGAACTCGAGAAACTTGAATCCCGATGTTTTGAAAAACTCTTGAGAAAGTTGGAAAGGGTGTTATAACATATACCTGCAGATTTGGAAAGAATAAGGTCCTAGTGAGAAAGAAATTTGCTCAATTTTTATGCTTTCAATTGGAAAGATGATTAACAAGACTTGAAGATCTTGGACTTGTTTATTTATTTATTTAGTAAACTCACTCACTTTGTCACTTGAGCCTCAAGATAAATTATTCTGATTGTTGTGTGTGATTCATGCGCAGTGTTTGTTCAGCATTTATGATAAGTGGTGCTATGCTATAATTGTTGTCAACAATAGTTTTATATGTATACATGTAATTCCATGATGATAATCTGACTATGCTCTTAAATGTTGTAAACCATAGATTTATATGTATACTTATAAATCTTATGTAAATTATGTCTACAATGTAATTATTGTATGCCTTATTTTATGTGTATACATCTAACTAATTCGGTCCCAAATATTTGTGCCTTAAATGCAGGGCATGTTTTAATGCTCTGCAGTACCCCACCCCTTACCATTTGCTGCATAACAGATTTAAGGACTTATATGTGCCATTACAATATTTAAAGTTTGAAATGTTGTTGTTGTTCAACACAAGCCAGGATCACTCTGGAACCTCCAACTACACTGGCTTGAGATGGGACACATGTTAAGGAAATACAGTAACAAAACTAAGTATCAACTTCTTTTTATACCAGAATTGTGTTTTTTTTTGTTTTATCAGCTTCAGATAAGTGTACTAATACAGTATGATGCACAATAGAACCTTGATAATTTATACACAACCAGTGAAGAAAACGGGAAGAACTTTTTGAAGGCAATTCATTCACAATAGAGCTCATTCTCACATTGGTGTTCCACTGCCTGCAATCAGTTAAAATACAAGATACAGTGCCTGTAATTTTTCCTTTTCCTGGAATGCTGAAACTATCCCTTCTTAGTTACCTTCAGTGTGTCTACATAACTGATATCTCCATTATTAATATTGATTGTTTTAATTACCCCTTTGGTTATTTTCATCAATTTTACCAGTTATTAGCTTTTGTGAATTATTGTTTTGTAAAATATCAAGGTTCTATTGTACCAAACACTGTATATTTTAAGTCCAGAAAGAATTTTAAAAGATTCAGTTATAAAGAAATTCGTTCCAGATTGGCTATTGATGTCATATTTGTCAGTTTGAGAAAAATATATGTGGTGTTACAGAAGTTTAACTAATAGGATTTTAAGCATCAATAGGTTCATTTGACATGTCTCATAATTATTGAAAAGAAGATTAATGTGTGATAAAGTATACACATTATAGAGCACTTCCTTAAAAGATCTGGGAGAGACAAGCCCATGTTGCACTTCATTGGCTTATCATGACCAGTATTTTTAAGAGAAGTGCTCCCGATGTTTATACCTCATTGTGTGCAACAATCAGCATGTCAATAGCTTTATTTCCAGACAGCCAAAAGGAACCAACTACCTTTAATAATTGTCACAAGTCAGTTTCAAGAATTTTTTCCTTTATAAATATGAATTTCATTCACCATTATGTTTAAATGTGATCTGCTGGTCATCTACATCATTGTGTCCAGGGAGAGTTGGCCGTGTTGCACATCTGCAGAACCTTAATCAGATGACTGCATTTGCTGTACTTAATGCACAAATTTTTGTAATTGTATTGAGAGTAAATAGAGTTTTCTAGAAATAGCACATTTATTATTTTTCCTTTATAACAAAGACCAATATTTATAAAACTTTTATAATATAACTATTTATTATGACTAAAATGTAAATTATAAGATTTGAAACAAGTATCTGGGTGCACTGGATATTTGTAGCCCTTTTATAGGGAACATTATTTTGGGACATTAGACATAATGGACTGGGTGTAAGATACATAAAGGTATGTAAAAAGAATATTCCCCACACCTGAAGATGTATGAATGCGACATATAATAGGATAACAAACTAAAGAATAAAATTAATGATCCAAAATAGCATCAAAATTACAATGAGGTCTACCTTCAGTGAGCAACTATCAGGAGATAAAAGTGTTGGTGTTGCAGTAATGACACCACACCCACCACCTTCATGCTTGTCATGTTACACCATCACTTGGAAAAGTCCATCTCCCTACTGCATGTCATATTATATCACCATGTGAATGCAATACACTACAGGCAATGACCATTTATACAATGGGGTTAGGGACCTCAAAAAAACCATCGCTAAATGATCGATCATATTCATAACTTGAGGGAAAAAATAGGTTCCGTTCTTGAGCCCCTGAAGAGCCCAAACAAGTTTTATATCCTGTTGCTATAATGATTATGTAATGTCTAAATAACTCAAATAATTTATAAACACAAAATCAATAAATTTATGCAAAATAATTTAATTATCCTTACATGAACATATATGTGTGTGTGTGTGTGTGTGTGGACTTGGCAGGTCACCAAGTTAGCTGTCACCGTAACATCACCTTACCTCTTCTCCTACCAGACGAAGTTGTTAATGTTATTTTTCAACCCCATAAAGAACATGAAAAAAGAATTTTGGTAAAAAAAAAAAAATAAAATAAAATAAAATCAGTTAATACATCAGCGGTAGTTTATGGGCGATTATGGGAGTGGAGTGTTGGTAGTGTGGTGGTGGTGTGGTGTTGAATGTTAGGGGTGTTGACGGTGAGTGTTAGTGATGGTGGTGAAGTGACCCACGTGCATGTGTGCTGAGTTGGTAATTGTTATTTTTCAACTCGTATTTTTGGTAATTCAAATGACCGAGAGCCCTTTTTTTGTCAAATTTATGGGGTAAAGTGTACATACAATCGTTCATACAAATTTGTGTTAAAAATCATTATCATGAGGTCAAAAACATAGAGATTAAATATTTATTCTGTTACGTGTGTGGGAGCAGCATTCCATCACAACTCGAGCTAGTGACAAAATTGCTAAATGGCAACACAGTATTTTTGTTAATTTTATATTTTGGTATTATTTTTATTTATTCCTCACATTTACTGGTACAGTATAATTGTTATGTACAAAGAATAGCTTCTTCTACAAGCAAACCATCCTCTGGGTGATGCGACACGCTCAACTGCTTAGCCTGGCAATCACAGGGGATTGGCAGAACCTTCCGCATGGGTTGCATGTGTTACACCATTCCAATATTGCATCATGATATCTCCGAATATTGAGAGTTATTGCACGTCACTTTTTCATACCAGGGACAGTGCAGGAAAAGCATTCAGGTAACAGCCATCGTAAAACTGATCTTCAGTCATCGCATAGTGGTAAATTGTGTCAATTTTTTTAAATCGTAAAACTGATCGAGTACATAAAGATCCACTGTATAACAGTCATGGCCAGTAGTGTAATTTAACCCATTAACATGTTACACCACCCACACATCCTTACAAACTGAGCACATTGACACATGTGGTAATTAACCTAATCTCAATCAGTACCACAACCAACTTTTTTCTTTTTGTATTAAGTTTACCACTGTGTCATATTTGATGTGTTTAATACACTGCAGACTAACTGGGGTGAGTAGGCAGTGCTTAACTGAACCAGGGTGACCAGGCAGTATGGAATTGAACCATAGTAGTTGAAAAAGTAATTTCAGCACTTTGATCACCCAATTAGGGTGAATTTTTAAAGCACATTGTACTGTACATTCTCAACAAAAACTTCTCAAACACCTGGGCACAATGGATGTGAGAATGAGCACAATGGGGCCTGTCATCTTAGAATGGGTCATAATCTTCATTAATTTTTCAGATTGGATAGTGCTTACAGCATTCGAGAAGTTTTTGGTGAGTGTCCACAATTATGTACAGTATGAGGGAAAATACTCTTACAGCAGAAAGATAAATTTTTTCCCATTTATGCAATAAGAAACTTACTCACGACTTGTATCATGGTAGCCACAGGAACCTAACCTTATCCATATGGTTTCTTCATCATGATGGAAGTAACCAATAACTACAAAGATGCGAACAAACTGCAGAAATGTTGGTCTCACAATGTCAGTCTAGGAACCTGAAGCTTAGTTCCATCCCTGAAAAAAATGTAGGCTTGTTAAACTTCATAATTCCGTCTCTTCTTTGAAATTCTTAATTGTAGGCACGTACAATTTCTGAATGAAGAAGTAGACATAAATGGTGAGTATGACACTGAGTGATATATGAGAATGTAACAGCAGAGTTAATGGATGACAACAAATGAAGAGAGTATTTGTTATTAGTTCCAGCAACACTGCAGAAATTTGGGTAGTAGGTAGTAGGCAGCTACCAAACAGGGAGGTACTACCACCTGGGAAGATATTGGAAGCATAATGTGTTGTCTAATGGTAGACCCTGCTGCCATATGGCATCACGAAAATTGTGACCAAGTCCCAGGTTGCTGATCTGACTTTCTGCCTCATTTACACACAATTGCAGGGTCTCAATTGTTTCTCTTACTATTAACAACATAACATACATACTGTATATTGTTTCTCACTCTTAATCTTTGTTTTTTCATTTTTGTAATTCTTAATGGTTCTTTATTATTATTACAGTATTATTATTATTATTTTTTTTTTTATTATAAATTTTACTTATCTGAATTATTATTATTATGATTACAACTTCGCCCCCTCAGGCCCGATGTGGGTCAGTGACCTGTGCCCGGGTGGGGTAATCCCCGAAAAAAAAAAAATCTGTAATGACCTTCATCATCCAAGAGTCAGGTAGCTCGTCATTGACTGTTTTACAATAAGTTCTCAAGGACTACATCCTCAAATGTAATGTGGCACCAATTTGGAATGATCTGTGAATAAGAGGTCAGGGAGGAAGAGAAGCTCACTTTATAAGCCCCCTCTAGTGCTAATATGGAATTCTGGTACTGTCACAAGATATAGGAACAAATTCCATGTATCAATATGATGCTTAAACAAATATGGACACATTAAGATATCCAGTAGGGTAGCCTTGCAGATGAATCCCCAGAAAAGTCAAAGTGCCAGTTGATAAGGGCACACAATACCCAGACCTACAACTAAACCCCCAAGACTAGGTAAACAATATATTCTGAAAATCCATATATTTTCTGTAACTTGTAAGGCTGAAGACAAGAGCTTTGAGATTAAGTGTCTATTAACACTGACACAAAATCAGAAAACAAAGCTGAATAGTTTGGGAAAGCTGATTCAGGCTAAGAAACTACATCCTGCAGGGCCAAAAGGAAGCCACTAGTGTAGACAACATGGATTTTTTTTCAGTTTTAAGATTTGCAACCTCTAGGAGAGAGGATGACAGATGAAGCCAATTCCAGAAATTCCAATCCAAGGAATAAGCATTTACTTCCACTGAGCCCTCCTACCAAAGTGTAAAGAATTCCATTACTACAATACAGTGGTCCCTCAATTAACGAACGGTTCGATTAGCGAATTACCTCCCATAAGGATCTTCAATTCGGTTAACGAACAAAACTTCGATTAAAGAAATCCTTACAAACATCACGTTTTGTTGTGAGCATCAGCTGATAAGCTGATGGGCTAGTCTGCCAATTCAGTAATCTGTTCTATGTTTATATTCGTTTCCAGTGGAGTAAATATCAAGAAATTTGTGCTCTTTAATATTTTTGCATTTTTTATATTAAAATTATTAGTAATTTTAACATTTATTAACATATAGATAATATATGCAGTACAGGGAACTAGTTTTTTTGTGCGCCCATCAAACGCTTGACTCAGCCACTAGGCGTCAGTTGGGCTTTGTTGACAGTGGAGTGAACATCTATTTTGTTGGTCTCTTGAATATTTTTGCATTTTTCATTGAAATTATTGGTCATTCTGATATTTAGTTAACATATTGATAATATATAGCGCAGTGCAGTGTTGATTTAAATAAAATAATCTTGAATTACACCTAGTGAACTTAAAATTTTATTGGTGAAATGACATCATCAAGCATGGGTTCCCTAAAAGGTGATTTCTCCTCCATCCCCACTTCTAATTCCTATCATCATCACCAACCAGGAACCTTCTACATACACACTTCAAAGTAAGTGTACTTTACTGCACTTTTTTTTTACTTTGTATGTACTTTTCGGTGAGCTGGAACCAATTACCCAATACCCCATTGAAGCAATGGATTCGGTTAACGAAATTTTTGGTTAAAGAACAACCCTCTGGAATGAATTGTGTTCATTAACCGAGGGACCACTGTATCACTATGGTAATAATTCTCATTTTTAAAACCAAGCATCCCTGTAGAATATTCACTTTAAAACTATATACAGTACAGTAATATCATTATAGCAGTCATACTTTTAAAGCCAAACATGTTTCAGCAGCACTACTCACTTTTTAAAGCCAAACATATCTCTAAGATCCAATTGCTTGGTATGAAGCTGCTTTTTCATTTTATTTTTCTTGCTTGACCGAGAAAGTCCTGGAGCCCTGCACTTGTTCTTACTTATCAAGGCAGACAATTTAGTTTTCTGTGCAAACTGAAAGTTAATAAATTTAGCATATTAATATACAGCACCAAAAAATTCTCACCAATAACTATACCTTATAAATATTCTGGTACACAACACGATGACCTGTTCATTGTACAGTCGGGTCAAAAGTCCTGTTAACACTCCTACTGCTCCACCAACCCCAAGATTCAGACTCGTGAACCCGAAGCCTCCGTGGGCAGAATAATGTACCAGTGTCTCCCGCTTCGGGTTCACAGTCTGAATCTTGTTGTTCGTTGAGCAGCAGGAGAGGCGACAGGACTTTTGACCCCGACTGTACACTCCACATTATCTGCACATTTTCATAGATTTCTCTAATGGGATCAGTTGTTCACACACTCTCTTTGCCCTTCTGTTACCTTTAAAATCTTTAAACTTTCAATCAACTTTCTACTTTTCCATTATAGAATATTGACATCTTCCTTCACTTATCTGTACTTCCAGCAATATCCTAAGACCATATTTCAGTACTGTAGTACTGAGAGTTCAGAGTTCACTTTTCTAACTTCAAAGAAACTTAACACAAAAACTATTGTAAGGAACAACATTCCCCATGACTTTGAACTTCATGGATGACACATATCACCAGACTAGTCTCACTAAAGCGTTGAAAACCTAAATCTTTTACTTCCCACATTCTCAATATACCTACACCACTTAACTATGTAAATCATGATCCACTCTCCATCCAATGTTCCTCTCTTATCTTTCTTATCCTCTGCATCCTATCCATCCCATAGATTGCCCTCATGTATGTCACTCGTCTCATTTAATTTGCTCCTTCCTGTATGTATAGTCGGCTCAATAATTCAACTATGTCCCCATCTTTCCTTCCTTTGATACAGTTCTCCCTCCATACACTTCTCACTGCACCCACTAGTTTCTTGCCCTCGTGTATGCTGTGGTTCATTTGTTGACACATCCACTTCCAGACATTTGAAATACTTCACTTCCTCTATTCTATTTCCACCACACTATCATTCATTTCTTCCTGTCTTCCTTCTCTACTTAATTTTATCAATTTACATTTGTTCATATTCACTATACTATATTGTAATTTATTTTCTTAAATGTTCACAACAGCAACTGCATTTACATATTGGAGGGACCATATCATATCCTTCTCATTACCATAAAGTCTGTGGCTATATATAACATAAGCATTACCTCCCTCTCTTGCATGCACCCACACACATGCTCAAACAAAAAACACAAAATAGAAATATTAACAGAACAAAATTAGAAGTTTAACTCAAGGACATACTGTATGCCTGGGCAAAGCTGGTGATGCCACAGCCTCCTTGACCACAAAAGGCGTAGAACCATCTGGTGTTGAGGGTATGGATGAAGGTGTCAAACCAAAAGATTCATTATCTATCGAGTCCACATCACTGAACAGTGACACAGTAGACAGATGACTCCTTTGTGACAAAGAAGATTCCTCACTGTCAGAGCTTTGAGATGAAACTAAGTTGTTTTCCTTAGATTTTGATACTTCAATTTTTCGTTGGGCTACAGGCTTAAATTTAGTCATTGCTGCTGGACTCCTTTCGACCTTTATTCTCTCTTTGTTTGTGTGGGCAAACCTTTCAGACATTTTGCCCCAGTGAAAATTATTTTCAGATTTATTTGGTAAAGTGTTAGTACGGACAGGAGATAGAGGTACTTTTGTTGACTTGGTAGGACTATCATCTACATGTAATTTGTGTTCCAGTGTATCTTTGTCAGCTAAAGCTGAAACTCTACTCTGACATTCTGGTTTTGCTGCTTCTTCTTCTTCTGCATGGGATTTATTGATAACATGTGAATTATCATGTCCCATAGCCGAGGTCTGGACAGCAGGTGAAGCAAAGTATCTGTAAACATAGTGCCATTATTGACTTCTTCTCTGTAATGAGTTCAGAGATATGTATTTTAAGTGAAATTTTCAGCAAGATATAAGTATCACTCAAAATAATGATGTCAGTGTTATCAAATATTTTGGTTTACCGAAGTACAAAAAACAATTTCACATCTTAATACTTACATTCAACAAATTCTACAGTACTTTAGTAATCTAGCAAGAAATTAAGAGTTGAATTATGAACTGTGAACTACCATTTTCTAGCTCTCCTCTCCCCTACTACACCCTCCCTTTCTTAATGTTTCCATTTTCCTTGATCCACTACACACACAGAATGAAGGCATAGGAAAGATAGTATGCACAGAAAACAGTGTTACATGTAATACAGATAATCTCAGATACATGTCCAAACATACTGTACTGTATTTTGAAAATTTAACATTTACTCACCTACTGTAGGTTATGGTGTTCTGATCCATCAAAGTCCTTTTAATTTTACTAAATTTCTTCAGTGCACTGAAATGTCCATTTGGAGTGCCTTGTGATTTACTGATGGTTTGGGACTTTGCAAATGGATTTTTTGATTTATGAGTCTCAGGTGATGATGTGTATTTCTCATCCAGAAAGGTATCATTGTTATTATCCCCACGAGCTATAACGCTTTTGTCTGTGTCTTCCTCTGCAACAAGAGGATCAGATAACTGGTCGAGGGTCGAGTGGATACCACTGTCATTAAGAGAATTATCCGTGTCATCTGGAGAAGCCTCTACCCTTCTAGACTTTTCTGGTAATGAGTACAGGTCATGGAGTTCCCCTTCAGTTAGATCATTCTCAAGCACTTCCGGTTCTGGAGAAAAATATGAGAACATAATACATACTGTATAAACAAGACAGTGAAAGGAAACATTGTTTACAAGTGAAGGCAAATATGCAGATTGTGTCATGACATTGATACAAATTATTCTACAAAATATACAGTAACTGCAGGAATCAACATAACACAGTGAGAAAAACAATGAGTTGAAGAGACGAAATGTGGGGAGAGAGATATCAAACTGCTAAACTACAGCTCTAGGTTAAAATCAGCTTAACTCCCATGGTAGGAGCTCACTGAGATGTACCGTATCCTTCATCCATTCTCTTACATTGTGGATTTCAAACATGGCTGCTGTGTTGACATTTTTGCTGAATTTCTATCTGGGGGGGTTTCCAATGCGTTTTCTTGAAAAACCATGTTTCTGCATATCAAAATTAAATGTTGCACAGTGTCATACAATCAGAGGGAAATTATAATTTAGCATAACTACCAGGTTTTTTTCTCTTGAACAGAGGAGTCGCCACAGTAATTTCCTTCCCCTTTGTTGTCCGTCTCTCAGACCTGAAAATGCTTGGCACCATCGGCTCCTTTTTGGTAAAGCTCTTGGTCCAGATACTTGGATGAGCTGCACGGATGTCACCGTGTTTGTTCCAGCCTGATGACTTTGGTTTTGGAGGCTAGAAACAGCAAAACATTTTGTCAATCATTAAACATGTACAGTAGCTTTCACTCATTATTGGCCTTTTCTATTTATCACAACTTATTAAACATACATGTACAGTATATATTATGAGCTATTCAGTCTTTAAAAATGATAAACACTGACATGTGTGAACTCTTGATACACCATTCACTATGTACTTTCACTCCATCAATTTTGCTTGCTTCAATGGTATACTCTCACAACATTTATACAAACAACTAAATATTATCTATATATAATTCATTCTACATATTCTGCCCTACTCAGTTATACTTCCACCACATACACATAATCATCAACATCATTTTATGGACATTAACATGTACACAATCAAACTTAAAACACTTATACTGTACCGTACTGTATCTACCATACAAAATGGAATGATGCCAAAATTTCATAACTTCATATCTAATTTTTTATACTTTCTTTCAACCAACAAATTTAAATTTCTTCAATACTACTATACGACATATATTCATAATAGACAAACACTATATATAAACTTGACATAAAAAAACAAATAAATAACAATAAAGTGTACCATACCTTATACGTCTCTGGATCAAAATTACCAACAACCTCTCCTGTCTGAACATTTACATTTCCCAAGGCTATCTGCAGAGCTCGCTCATGGCCGATAAACTTTCCTGCATAGGGAAAATCCTCAGGTCCCTTGTCATCTGGGTAATCAATGAGAGGGCGAAGAGTGCGACTGATAGGGTCAAACACCAGCTGATACAGGAATGTATTGAGTGCATTGACAAAGCCGTCACGATACTCTTTGGTTACTTCCAGTTGAGGCATCTTCAGGTACATTGGTAGTTTACACAGTGCCTGTTGAGTGAAAAATCTTAAGTATTATGTATATACCTGTACAGTATATCTGTAAGGATGACTACAAAACAGGCTAATTATATTACTTAGTATAAATGACTAGTTTAGGTCAAGAGGCTTTTAGATACATATCTACTCATCTATGTTATCAAATATAATACACAGTCAACATCAACATATGGGAATAATTGAATACCTAAACCTGTACTTGTTCTTATACTTTTGTAAAGTATCTGAATTTAAAGATGAAGAATACAGACTAAGTATCAATGGGCCTGAGCATTACAGTATTTACTTAAAACGGAATGATATCCTACAGTAAACAGGACTTTGGAAAGGGGCTCTGCACTAGAAAGGATTAGACTATAATTAAACTATTTTTGGCAGGAGAGGAATGAGAGAGGAACACTTGACAATTTGTCAAATCAGCAAAAACCTCAGCATTTTATGATATTGTACCAAGGTAACAATGTTGCATTCACATATTATAGTACAAACTAAAACACTGTACTATAATCATATCAACACCCAAGAGCTAGACCATATAACCCATTCACTGTAGGTGTTTAACACCCCCTGCATCCATCTTCCACAATGTCTATAAAAATGCCTACAAGTGACATTGCTGGTAATGTGGCCAAGCATCAGTGTGGCTGTAAAAACACAGGACAGAAGACAATAAGAGTGTCAGGATGATATTGGGTCATAACTTCCTTGTTAGAGTAAGATCATGTTAAAACAACGGCAGATGAGGGTCAATCTTACCGATACTGCATACTTACTGTATGTTTTTTATGTCAATTATCACTAAAAATTCTCTTTATTTATGATATGTTTTAATACATTTAACAAGTGTACAATATCATTATTACTGTTATTACCAATACCCAATGAAGCCTTTCATTATCAATACATTTTCCAAGAATGTATCAAAAGCACTGCCAGGTATGTATGTGATAACTTGTGTTTATGGTTTTTGGGTTCACGCATAAGTATTGTATATACTTGAAAAGAAACTCTTAGAAAGGGAGACACTGGTATTGGATGATGGTGTAAATTAAGTAATTATAAGAACTTGAAGGCACTGATTATAACTTGACCTGAAGATCATCAGGACCAAAACTTTGAACGTTTGGACACATGGTAACACTGCAGAACTTACTTCCAACAACTTACATTGTGAATATCTGGATTTGATGTAACATTGATGAATTTGCAAGCCTTAGTTAGACCAATTCCATGTAAGGAAGGAAGGTAATCACAGCCAGACAGGATGCACATGATACGGAACTTGTCAAAGGAGAATTTGTCCCGTGGTAAGTTCATGCCAAGATGTAGTTTTTCCTGCTCCACCAGAATACCACCACCATTGTTGTCCATTTTGAAGAGAATCTAATTAAAATAATAAATAAATAAAATAAAAATAATAATAATTCTGTGATTAGTGATACCAAAAAACTGGAAATTGATTCTGAAATTTCTTAAATGTATGGTCCCTGCAGAATACATAAATGCTGTTATTTCATTAACTAGCTTAGCAAGCATCATATTTTGTATCTTCATTAATCTGGGTGTAGATACTTAATAGACTTTCTAAGATTTCAGCTTCAATTTATAAGGTGAATTTGCTTAGTTGAGGTAATTCCTTGTAAATGTAGCTCCACAACCTTTAATGTCCCTTTAAAGAAGGTTGAAACAAAAGTAATAGGCAAACCACATACAGTAAATAATTAGTAGATTTAAAAAGAAAATTAGCTCAAGGACTAGTTATTGATTCCTGGCCAAACTTGCAGAAATTACAATTGAATGATTATATTATTAGTGTGTCTCCTGAGGGTAAAATAACATTTTGTTGGAGTAACATCCTGCAAATAGGGTGGGATAATCCACAAGTTGCTGAGTGTTAAGAATCTGGGGATCAAACAACAGGCAAAAACCTGATTCTGTGTAAATAAACAGTGGAAAAGACAGGACACTTTATCAATGAAAGAAAGTACAATTAGCGGTTTACTATAGTACCATACTATTGATTATAAAGAGCACAGGAGCTTACAGGAGCACAATTTGACAACAGGTAAGATTTCTTATTTCTTAAGGGGCCTAACCCTGGAAATGTAAAAGCTAGTAGTGTTGAAACTCAACATGTACTTACAGCTTTGCTTCCAAAAAGTATAAGGTCTGAGTCCTCCGTGATCACCAACTGCACAACACCACTAAGGTTCAGGTATGCCAGCTGGGCATCAGCTTCATATGGTGCAACTAAAATTAAACCTCATATTACAGAAGCAATACAATATAAACAGAGAACATAAGACAGATGAAATAAAAACCAAACTCTTTTTAAGCCTACTGGTTGAGGCATCTGTATTATCCTATTATAATCCAGTGCAATTAGCTCATTTTGAGTAAAAACCTAGATATGTAGAGATCTTCTTAACTTGCATGCTAAAAAGTTCCAAAACATCGGGCTGCTGGTTTTCTAGTTATCATAAAAAATGGCAGCCATTTTTTATTTTGGCATATGATGGAGGTTTGATTCTGTTTTATCGGAAAATTTTTGGCACACTTTTTTATATACCTGACCTTACAGGAAGAAATTAAGTAATTTATGGAAAGACTTCAGCTACACCTCTCCAATATCTAAATAAACTACTGGTACACTTCAGTATATGGAAATAGTGAAGATGAAGGGTCTAGATTAACCAAGTTCCAAGTGAAAAATAGGGTAGCAGAAAAATCTTTTCTTACAGCAAGAATAAAATAAATCGGGTGGAAGAATGGCAATTTTCATCAAGAGATTTTTCATTAGGTAGCTGAATTAACTAGGATCCTTGTTCTCACCTTAAAATGACCATTTATCTTATGACTTACCTATCACATCAACATTCCTAGCACGGCAAGCATTAATAACATTAGCAGCCATCTCAGAAGTTACATCAACACAGCGTTGGAAACACTCCTTGGCCTCACGAATCTTTCCTTCCCTAAGCAATTCTTTTGCTTTCTTGCGATTCCGCTCACGATTTCTGATGAAACATTTTACTGTTAGTTCAATTACATTGTATTTGTACAAGCTCCATGGTATATATAAGACGAAGGTAGGACACTGAGGCCTGCTGGTCCAGTAGAGGCAATGTAAACACAGCCTTCTGATTACATGTATTGTACGAAATCTTTGGTACACATAGTGGCCATGGGAAGAGTACAGAACTCAACCACTTTCACATCCCCACCTGTAGTACTGTACACCCAGGTACTGTACTCATTCACAGTGCTGGGAGTGCCCCAAATATAAACCAGTTACCCTGAGGACAGGAGGCAAGCACTTGGCTGCTGCATAACTACAGTACAGTATACATTATACAGTATTACCCGGCTTTACGCGTTTCCACGTTTACGCGGTACCCTGCCAGACCCGGAATGCTCACTTTACGCGGTGCGTGTACTTTTACGCAGAGAGCAGCGCGGGCAGGGTGCGCACAAGGTCGCCCAGTCATCAAAACATTACCGAGTTCTTCACCCGCCACCCAACACAGCCGGCCCAAGTTAGTGATAGTGAGAATATGGACTTATATGGACTTTGAGGGGTTTGACAAAGAGGCCCTGCAAGCCTATGTGGTGGATAGTGATACAATTGATACAAGTGATACAGGTGAGGGCCAATAATCTGCCCTCTGCCTTGGAACCAACCCCCCATCCCCGTGTGCCCAGCCATCTTTTCTACTAATGTAAGTGTTAAAAAACCTAATATTATTGATATTTATCTTAATTATTAATTGTGTGTGCATACCATCATAAAATTAAGAAGTTAATTTTTACTACAACGTAGGTATTGTGTCTGAAAAAGTGGAGTTTGGGGGTCGGCCCGGTCTCTATGTTGCTCACTTTACGTGTTTCTCGCTTTACGTGGGCCTCCATGGGTTCAATTGACCGCATAAAGCGAGGGTTCACTGTACAGTATAATCATCCACGACAGTTCAAGTAAAGAAGATGGGTTGTAAGAGGTTATTAAGGCAATTACAGTATTCAACAATATTATGGTATGTATTTGTAAAGAATATCTTTTAACGCATCTGCATCTGCAACAATTACCTTCAACACAACGTTAGCCAGTAATAATTCTGCATGCACTACCCTCTGTCCAATGTGGGAAGGAGTATCACTGAAAGAAATGAAGTTATTACCACACCATATAAATGACTTGATAAAAATAATAGGTAATACTGGAGCAGACGGTTAACCCCAGAATGCGTTGTTCAATTTCGTTAATTTTTTCCACAGATGTTCTTTGGATGATAGTAAGTACAGTAATGAAAATGATATGACAATGCACAGAACGTAATAGAACTTTCTAACCAACAAAAGAAATCTACAATACCCAATTCCTAGCTAGGGAGCAGACCCCCCACCATATTAAACAGAAAGTACCGTACTTACTTTGACATCTGGTACCAATAAAAGCAACTTAGTTGAAGCGTCATGGTATAATTTTATGCTTTTTGTGGATGTGAGAGTATGCTCGGACCGAGCGTAAACAAATAGCAGAATATTTATGGCAAATAATTCATTTCTTCGCATACACAGCACATATTATCATTTTAGCATCATATAATCAGTTTTTCACCATATTTTACCCTGCAATATCTCTTATCCTTCATACCTTGCCACCTACAGATAATTTATGATTGTAGATAGAGAATTAAAAATATAAAAAATAAACTTATAATTAAAATAAAAAGTTGTATCATTTTTTTATTACTATCATCCAAAGAACATTTAGAAAAAATGAATGAAACCAAACAACTCCTGGCTTTGGCCATCTGCTCCACTATTACCAAATATAATAATTTACAGTATAATCTTGGAAAAACTAATGTACAATAATCTAAGACGCTTCAGATTCAAAATCATGACTAACAATCTAAAAATTTCTGGCACTAAATCAGTCTAAGTAAGGCACATTCAGTTGCCAGCACACTGCACAGTACTGCACATCCAAATCTAGAGGTTAATTATAACAATAATAAAATACAATACAGTATCTTACTCTCTCCGTTTAGTTTCTGTTACAGCCTTGGATGGAAGATGGCATCCATCAAACACCATGATTGGCTTGATGGCATTGTTCAGCAAGATGTTGATCTGCTTCATCACATAAATTACATATCTGAGGAGGGAGAAAAAAAAAAAAAAATCAAAAGATTCAAACTGAACATTTCAATATAGTACTGTACTGTGCAAGTTGTCCCTGTTTATTACAAATTTACATAACCATTTACCCGGTACAGTAAATGTTTATCAACTAAATATCACATTACCTGTTTCGTCATTTTTCGTTAACTATCCATCACTTTTTTACATTTTTTTTCTCTTACCATTTAATAGATTTTTTTCGAGAAACGAAAAAATATACTTTAATTTAGTGGGGTGTTCCAAAAATAAACATGATATTCGCAATTTATTTGTTGTAATAATCACGAAGTTTTCCAAGTCCCAATTTGATGTTATGGTGACACGCAACGTTGCTCTCGTTCGTCCTCGCTAAGGAACATGGCGTCATTAGGGAGTCCAGGGGGTGAAGCTCCTCGGCTAAATAGGATGCGGCCTGTTAGGTCAGGTCAGGTAAGGTTATTACGTAGTCCTAGTTTAGTTTTAACCTTTTTCCCATGGGAAAAAAAATCGCTAGTGTGTAGTGTGTAGAAGGGCTGAAAAGGAAATTCAGAGGCTGGTTGCAAGCGAGGTCAATTCAAACCCAAAGGTGTTTTACCACTATGCAAAGTCGAAATTAAAACCACGAGTAGGAGTGCCAGACCTGAGGCTTGAAGATAGTAGTTACGCAGATTCTGACCAGGATAAAGCTGAGGCATTGAACAGTTTCTTTTCCTCGGTGTTCACAAGAGAGGATGCGATTAACCTTCCTGCGTTTGAGGACAGACGGTTCGACACAGCACTGACCCACATTGTGTTCAAAAAAGAGGGTATAAGAAATAAACTGTCAAAGCTAAAGGTCCATTAGAGTCCCGGCCCTGACATGGTGCATTCCAGAGTGCTAGGAGAGTTGTGCAACGAGATTGTCGAGCCCCTGAAGATCCTGTTCTGTAAATGCCTGGATGAACAAAGGGTCCCCAGTGATTGGAAAATGGTTTATGTGAGTCCTATCTTCAAGAAGGGCGATCGTCACTCCACGAATAACTATAGATCGGTGAGCCCAACCAGCATAGTATGTAAAGTACTTAAGAGTCTTATCAGAGATGCCGCAATGGAACATCTACTTCGAAACAACCTTGTAAAGGATTGCCAACACGGTTTTATGCCGGGGCACTCCTGCTTAACACAATTGCTCAAGGTATTGGATATTTGGACCCATATTCTAGAACGGGGTGGTAACATCGACAATATATACCTAGATTTTGCCAAGGCTTTATACAGTGTACCCCACGAAAGGCTGAAAATCAAACTGGAAGGGTACGGAATTCGGGGAAATGTCCTAGCGTGGATAGAAAACTTTCTACATGACCGCAAGCAGTGTGTGGTGATTAATGGCACGAAATCATCATCTGTACCTGTCACAAGCGAGGTACCACAGGGCAGTCAGTATATTGGGCCCGCTGTTGTTTGTTTGTTTCATAAATGATATGCCTGAAGTTGTACACTCCTCCATACAATTGCTTGCAGATGACACCAAGTTATTTAGGGAAATCAAGAAACAAGCAGACTGTGAAGAGCTGCAGAAGGATCTCTGTGAGCTCCAAGAATGGTCGAAGACATGGCAGCCGAGATTCAATGTAACAAAGTGTAAGAGAATGTACCTGGGGCGTACCAACGGTAAGGAGGGGTATTATATGTCCCAACAGGATGAGGGAACTGCACTATTTGAGATTGAATGTGAGAAGGACCTAGGTGTGTATGTTGACAATGAGCTGAAGTTCTCGGGCCATGGCGAGAAGAAGGTAAATCAGGCAAATAAATTATTAGGTCTTATAAAATGGTCGTTCAGATATCTAGACGGTCCGTCCCTCGTAATGTTCTTCAAGAGTGAAGTGCTTCCCCATCTGGAGTACTGTCACCCCATCTGGTCCCTGAGATATGCCAGGGACTGTCATTGGTTGAAAATGTTCAAAGGAGGGCCACCAAACTGGTGCCTGCGCTTCGGCACCTCAACCACCCTGAGAGATTGGAGCGCCTAAACGTGCCTAGTTTATACTACAGATGGGCAAGGGGTGACCTAATTGAGGTGTATAGCATCTCAAGGGGCACTACTCAGTCGAGTGTCCTTACTTGGAGCTGGCGGACGCTCTCCCCACAAGGGGTCACCGCTCAAGATTGAAAAAGCCGCAGGTGCAGAAAACTGTGAGGACAAACTTTTTCGGAGTGAGAGTTGTGAACTCTACCAGAAAGTGTTGTGACGGCACCGAGTGTGAGCTCTTTCAAGACCAGACCTGACCAACACTGGAGCAGGTTCAGGTACATTCAGGAGCCGGTGCATGCCCACTACTTGCCAACAGTGCGTAACAGACATAATCAATCGCCCAAGCGGCTAACGAGCCAATCAATTGAAGAGGATAAAACAAAAAGTAAAAGTTTAGATGATTCTGACATTTATTTTGAGTGAAAATCACGCACCTTCATCCCCCCCACCCAAAACCCTGCATTCCCAACGTGGCCCCCTACATTGTTGGGAGCCACGATAAATGTCAGAATCATCTAAAACAGAAAAACTAGCGAAAAAATAAAATTTTCATGTGAAAAGGGGTGATGGGTGGTTAACGAAAAGTGACCCGTTTCAGTTTTACACAAGCAATAATGAGGCTAAAGCAGTAAATACCAATGTACGTATTCCAAAGCTACCCCAGTGATTATTTTGCTGTATACCCAGTACCTACCCATCAGTAGGCTCTCCGCGCACCAGTTTATCAGCACAGGAGAAGGCGCCCTTATGTAACCAGCAGTAGGCGTCCACTGCAGCAGTCTGGCCTTTAAAATCTCTCAGGTTGGCTTCCCTTGATGCCTTCTTCAAAAACGGTAGGAGACCCTGAATACCCATGGTGACTTGGGCACAGTAAATATCAACAATAATGTTCTTCAGATTCGTGATTCTTCTAAAAATTCGCCAGAGTATTGTTATTCTTCTCGGCAACCTTTTGTTTTACACCTACGTACTCCAATAATGTCAGGGAGTGAGAGACTCAGACCCAGGTATACCTCTCCCGCTCTGGTGTTCCTCGCGGGCTGCTGGGGCTGGAGCCAAGGATGGTGAGTATAAGGCACCTACCAAAGAGTGATGCTAAGATGTATTATCTGCTGAAGCTGTCAAAAAAAAAAGGTCACGGTTAAATAAAGCAAAGATTAGCCCTTAATAAACTGGATGATAAGTATGCAACGATATATTAAATAAACTGGCTGCGGCCAAAGTATAGCGTCAGAGAGGCTACAGCTGGTGACTGACGGTGACTCTCTGGTCAACACTAAACACAGGACGACCTTCAGCGCCACACAGGAGTAACAGCTGATGCAAGATCACTGAGTTTTGACCTAAGTTTCTGACTAGTTCAGTTTACTACTCCTTGTTCATGAGTGACAAGAGGGTCAAGAGCGGAGAGGAAAGGCAGGAAGAGTGGATCTGAGGTGAGACCTTAGATAAAGGTGATCTCGGGGACAGCTGCGTTCCTGTAAGGAGTGAAACATGATAATTAGAACTGTCAAAAGATACGCTTAATAATAGCTTACCTTACACACAATAATCTTAAACACATTGGAGCAGTGACAGGTGGAATATCAGCTCATGAAGGTTTGATAGTACATTTTACCTTAGTGCCAAAAGTGAACCTAACCCGTGCACTTCTGTGGCACAGGATGTTTGTATAGAAAAATGAAATCTTGTGTACAGAAATAAGTCCATAGAATGGAAACATGTTAGGTCAAAAGTAACTTGAGGAAATTTTTTTGTAAAAGATATAGCTATGTACTTTTTTTGCAGAAAATATAGGTACAGCAACTGTACCTATATGAAATGTTGATGTATATTGGTGAGGCAGCCTAATGCATATGCATGGGCAGACTATACAATGATAGTTACTAAGATGGCCTTTCTGACTAACCTGACCTAACCTTTCCGCTCAATAGGAAGAAAGTACCGCATTTGTGCATGCACGATTCTTTGCTTTACCAATACCCACACAGTCTATCAATACAGCTGCCATACCTGTACCAGGGGGTCCGACTAATTACCCAAATGTAGCCGCAATGAAGTCAAATAATGGTCTTACATGAATAAATCGGACTGCCAATCACTTCTCGACTAGTATTTGGTGTCACAAAGTAAAAAAAAATTGGAAAACGTAATTAAATCTGAGTTAATAGATTGCTTGCATGTACCGAGGGAGCGAGTAATTACCCAAATGTACCCAAATATAGCCGCAATGAAGTCAAATGATGGTCCTACAAGAATAAATCGGACTGCCAATCACTTCTCGACTGGCATTTGGTGTCACGAAGTCACAAAAAATTGGTAAACTTAATTTAATCTGAGTTAATAGATCGAGTGCATGTACCTAACCTAACCTAACCTAACACAACTCAGATTAAATTAAGTTTACCAATTTTTAGTGACTTTATGACACCAAATAATAATCGAGAAGTGATTCACAGCCCGATTTACGCTTGTAGGACCATCATTTGACTTCATTGCGGCTACATTTGGGTAATTCCTCGCTCCCTCGGTACATGCATTCGATCTATTAACTCAGATTAAAGTAAGTTTTCCAATTTTTTGTGACTTTGTGACCACCAAATACTAGTCAAGAAGTGATTGGCAGTCCGATTTATTCATGTAGGACCATTATTTGGCTTCATTGCGCCTACATTTGGCTATATTTGGGTACATTTGGGAAATAAGTCGAACTGGTATCAGGTGTTGTTTGGATAATAGTAAGCAATAAAAACATTACAACAACTTTTTAATGTAATTTTAAGCATTTTTGTGTGTTTATCTATCTACAGTAATAAATCACCTGTAGTGGGCAGGGTATGAAAGAGAAGGGAAATTATGGGGCAAAACACGGAAAAAAAATATATCATATGACAGTAGTTTCATGTCTCTACATGCTTTGTATACCTTTTACTTCATAAACCACCACAAAAATGGGAACATAAGAATGAAGAAAACTGCAGCAGGCCTATTAGCTCATACTGTACCAGGCAGCCCTTGTTCAACCTATATTTGAAGTGATGGTGTCTGTTAATTTGCTCCCTTAACCAATGACTGGGTCATATCTCATTAAACAAGCATGAGTGCCAAAAATAAGGTCATATTCTTTAAAATGAGAACAAAACACTTTCCTTCCTGAACATATGCATGGACCTGAGCTATGACTTACCAGCTACTGCAACATTATGATTTATCAGACGTAACACAATCAACTTAACCTAACCTAGGTTAGGAGGTTAGGTTGATTCATTTTATCACTAATAGATCATATATACTGTAGCAATAGCTAGCTGGTAAGTTTTTGGATGCACCTTGGATGCAAACATTTGATCTGGCATCTAGCACGTGGGTGTTCAGCAGAATAGTGTTTCGGATGAAAAAAATGTAAAAAATAATATTAAATTAATCTTATTCATTTCCTTTTGGAGGGCTTTGACAAGGTAAGAAAGCATTTATCTTCTATAGAAAAATTTCCTCAAGTGGTTGATTAAGGCGGACAACTGTCATAATTTTTTTGTTATTTATTGACATGAAGTAACTAGACCTACCACTTAAAAGTTAAGTTTATCTTTCACAATGTCTTTTAGCACCACAGTAACTTTATATGTGGTGGGGTATTACTTTAGCCCCAGAGTACAATCATACTTACTCACTGTGTGTACAGTTCTAAACTATTCCATACTTGAGTGATTTTGTACCAACTCTTTGTTTTTATCAAAGAATGAGAGTGGAAATTATGGAACAAGTCAATGAACTCAGGGTTTACCTGAAATACATTGATAGCCATTTTACTTTACTGTTCAGTACAGCGATTGACACTTCATTGATATGTAACGATATTGGCTTTCACACACCAAATAACAATTTACTGCTTTTTGGACTTTTGGTACCAGAGAATGTAGTTACAGCTTATAGCAGACTGACACTGCCATTTATAGGAGTTTTGAGCAATTTTCATCATAAAAGACCATGTTATTCAGGCAATTCTTGAATTTTGTACAATACTGTACTGTACTTTATTATGTAAATTATATTTGCTATATTAATATGATAAAACTTTATTTTCTCCTCTCAGCCCAAATAGTTTGAAGCACTGTGAACAGCCTCAGCCAAGATGGTGTTAGCTGATTTAGGTCGTAAGATCACCTCGGCCCTCAAATCCCTCAACAATGCTACTATTATCAATGAAGATGTCCTCAATGACCTCCTCAAGGAAATTTGTGCTGCCTTGCTTGAATCTGATGTTAATATTAGACTTGTGAAGCAGTTGAGGGAAAATGTACGTTCGGCAATCGATTTTGACGAGATGGCAGGGGGCCTCAACAAGCGTCGGATGATCCAGACAACAGTGTTTAAGGAACTTGTCAAGGTGACTAGCAATTGAAAATCTAATAATAAATCTTTTATATATTAACAGAGTTCCTCCCTTATACTATAAGTACTACTCTATTAACATACCGGTATCTTTATAACTAGTACAACATTGACTCATCAGGGGTTCTTTTAGTAGTGGTGATGGTTTTCCTAACCTCAGTCATGTCTCTTTTTTTTTGTGGGGGGTAGGAAGTGACTTTGGTTTATATTTCCTACATGATACTCAGTGCACCTGGTTCACTGTATGTAAATTAGAGTTCAGATGGTCAGGGAGAGATGGTGGTAATAAAAACAAGTAGAAAATAGGTGGTTTAAATATACAAGTACTGTACATACTTAGTAGTGTTAAGCAGACACAGGGTCTGTTTCACTATCAGTATCCTGCACTACTGGGCTACCTGATGATTCAATTAATAATTTAAGATTCAGTTTGAATTATGTCCACCTCTGGAGTCAGTTTCTTGTTTATTTATCTTATTTTGTCACTTGGCACTTAGGACCTGATTCCATTACTTATTGGAAACAACATGTATGTAGGGTTTCTCATAAATTTTGCCCCTTTGATATTTTATTGAAGATACATATAATTATATAACTGTAGGGGACCCCTGCTTAAAATCACCTTATTTATTGACGTTTCTTTGTTATGTTTGGTGAATTAGGAATGCTGTCTGTTTAGTTTCTCTGTGTTTTGTTACAATGTCATTGGCTGTCATCCGCTTGTCCATAACTACTTAGTGAAATGGAGTGTGGGACCAAGTGGTCGACCAAAGCTGTGCTCCCACCTTAGTCAACTTGATTGGTGCTCTTGTTTAAATTTGTGCATGAGGGCAAAACTCAAGATAAATTGTTTTTAGTGCATATACAGGGTTATATACTGCAGCATTGCCCCAAAACATGTGACAAGTGTTGATGAAATGCCTAGCACCAAAAAAAATTAGAAATGCAAATTAGTTTGGGTTCAGAGTTGGAAATCCTGAGATGGTTTGATACTACAGCAGTGAAATATTTTCCCCAAATCAAACCCTTTCCTTATTTACATAATTTCATGTTGGTGAAATTAATCCACTTAACCCCATGAGTACTTAAAGGGGTTGGCCCTCATATTCAAAGGGATAAGACATTATACATAAGGGATTAAATACCGTACCCAAGGGGTTAAAATTTCATACTCATGGGTAAAGATATCATGCTCAATGGGTGGATTCTTAGTACAGTACTCAGGAGAAAGGCATCGTACTGAAGGGGTTAATTTTATGTCCCTATAAGTTAGCACTTGCCAGGAAAGCACCTACAATGATAAGAGGGGGTCCCAGTACAATAGATTTTCTTGAATAAATTTTTGTATGTATACAACATTTAGTGTCTGTGCCCATTGATATATCAGCTTAATGTTTTATATGATTATTGTGTAATACTTTATATGTTCTTATAACCATATTCAAAATTATAAACCTTACATTATAGTGTACAAATGTTAACTGTCATTGCGGGAACTGTATATACAGTACTGTACTGTACTTACTATTCTGTATCGTTGTGATGTGATTATACTCCTGAATTATATCTCATATGCATGTATCTGTTACAGCTGGTGGACCCAGGCACAAAGCCATATGTGCCTGTTAAAGGACGACCCAACATTATCATGTTTGTTGGTCTACAGGTTAGTGTGTTCCTAACAATAAGTAATTTTAGTGTTTTCCAGGACAAGAATGAATACAGTACTTTAATAAGATTTATGAGATACTGTATCTCATTCCTTCTTTTTAACTGAGCATCATCAAATAGTATCAAATATTTAGAATACCATTTTATTACAGAATGCCTCAAGATTAGGTAAGAAAAATATGATTTGATGTAAATTGTTTATTACAGTCCCAGGTAATTTTCTGTTATAATTTAAATTTTACTACTCCATGCACAGTGCGGTACAGTAATGGATTTTGCACTAGTTGCTTTAACAAGTAACATTCTGACATGAAGGAAAGATTGGATTTATTGTAGTAAGGCTGATGAACCCCGGGGATTTTCTTTCCATATTATGTACAGTCAACCCTCGCTTTACGCGGTCCCACATTCCGCGTTTACGCGGTACCCTGCCGAAACAGAAATGCTCACATTCCGCGGTGCGTGTACCCCTTTACGCGGAGAGCGGCTGGCGAGCCGCGCCATTTTTGGATTCAAACCTCCCGCCATCTCTCCCGCCATCCGCCATGTTGTGTAAGCTGTGCGAGCATGGTGCGCACAAGGTCGCCCAGTCATCAAAACATTACCGAGTTCTTCACCCGCCACCCACCACAGCCGGCCCAAGTCAGTGATAGTGATAATTATAGTGAAGATATGGACTATATGGACTTTGAGGGGTTTGACAAAGAGGCCCTGCAAGCCTCTATGGTGGATAGTGATACAATTGATACAAGTGATACAGGTGAGGGCCAATAATCTGCCCTCTGCCTCGGAACCAACCGCCCATCCCCGTGTGCCCAGCCATCTTTTCTACTAATGTAAGTGTTAAAAAACCTAATACAGGTATTATTGATATTTCTCTTAATTATTAATTGTGTGTGCATACCATCATAAAGTTAAGATAATATTTTTACTACAACATAGTTGTGAGTCGTCAAAAAGTGGAGTTTGGGGCATGGCCCGGTCTCTATTTCAATTAATTCCATATGTTATGTTGTTCACTTTCCGCGGTACCCTGTGGGTTGAATTAACTGCGTAAAGTGAGTGAGGTATGTATATATATATATATATATATATATATATATATATATATATATATATATATATATATATATATATATATATATATATATATATATATATATATATATATATATATATATATATATATATATATTACACACACACACAGTTGTTCTCTCATTAGGGACCCAAATCCAGGTCATAAGTCCGAATGGTCGTAAGTCCGACATAGATAAAAAAAAAATTCAAATTTTTTTTTTTAAATAAAAAATCTACAATGAATGCACATGGGGCCCCCATAATTTTCTAATTATACATGGAGACTACATTTTAAAGGCTTGGATTGCAATAGGAGAACTGTACCAATTGTTTGATTAACATTTGCCATCAATATTGAGGATTAGCCTGGCTTCTAATCCATAGACTTGATGTATACAACATTTGAGTCTCCTTGTCCTGGTTCAACTCTGAAATAGGATCTATGGAATCAATCCATAATATTTACATTTATTTTCACCCGTGAATTTTAGGGCTCTGGCAAGACAACAACATGTACAAAGCTGGCATATTACTACATGCGGAAAGGTTGGAAGACCTGCTTAGTTTGCGCTGATACTTTCCGAGCTGGTGCCTTTGATCAAGTGAAGCAAAATTGTACTAAGGCGCGCATCCCCTTCTATGGCAGGTGAAGTTTAATTTTCAAATTTAGTATCTTAATAGAACTAAGATTTGCTTTAAAATCTGTGAGTATTTACACATAATATGACAGGCAACATATGAGTAAAAGTAACATATTTAAATTGAACAAGAGGTCCACAAGTGAGGGAGGCATTAAGTATGGTGGTTTATGTTGAGCTACAGTACTGTACGTACTGTATTTCATTACTCAAAATATGGTTAGAAAGCTGTAGCCTGTTTTTCTGCATTCAGAATTTTTTTATAAGTGCTAATTTTATTACTGTTAAATTATTTTGGATTTATCAAGATTTACACGTCACTAAACATCCACACAGTCATACTAAGCTTGCATTTTAATTTTATGCACTATGCACTGATATGTGCTTCCTTATAAATACACACAGAAACATGCATACTTATATGCACCACCTGTCCTTCATTCATTGATTATTATGAAATTAGGTATAAATAACTTATTTATTGTTACATTTGCAGTTACACTGAGGTTGACCCAGTAGTTATTGCCATGGATGGAGTGGATCAGTTCAGAAAAGAAGGGTTCGAAATTATCATCATAGATACTTCAGGCCGACATAAACAAGAAGACTCGCTGTTTGAAGAGATGTTGCAGATCTCCAATGTTTGTGTAAGTAGTTGATATACCAAGAGTATCATTATTTTTTCGTTTGTGGTTTTCTTTCATTGAATTGGAGAACAATATATAGTATTTAAAAAAATAACAATCAAAATGTCTAGAATATAGTTTTATTTAGGTATCTTTTTTGTTGTCTTTTCCCTTACCTTGTGCTTTTAACCATTTTGCCCCATCTATTCCTATATCCCCTTCTATTAATATAAAGTTTCTATACAGATTGGGAGAGGAGTAAAGATAATGGATAAAAGTTTTGTTCATGATTCTTTAAATAAATTCTGTAGAACGTAAATGTATTTTTTAAGTCACGTGAAAAGCCTGTGACTCGATCTTGATATTGTTATTTATTATCCTATTAATTTTTTTTTATCAGAAACCAGAGAACATCATCTTCGTCATGGACGCCAGCATTGGTCAGGCTTGTGAGTCACAGGCTCGGGCTTTCAAGGAGAAAGTGGATGTAGGCTCAGTGATCATTACCAAGTTAGATGGTCATGCCAAGGGTGGTGGAGCATTGTCTGCTGTTGCTGCCACACAGAGTCCTATCATCTTCATTGGTAAGTGTAAATAAGCTTTTCATTCACATATGAGAGATGCAGGCATAGATATACTGTACCTGTACAACAGAACCTAAGAATTAGGAAACCAGACACTGATTATGATGACTAAATTCATAGCCCCAGGCTGCACCAACTTTCCCTCCAGCTGGGGAAAAATACTGTACAATGCTACTATATACTTTTGTGATATAGCTATCCCATGGCTGTATGTTTGGACAAAGGCGGTATGCTCACCAGAGTTACCCAATAAAGCAGCGATTTTCAACCAATGTGCCGCGGCACATTAGTGTGCCGCGAAGCATCCGTAGGTGTGCTGCAGGAGTTTAAATAGCATTTGGATACGTTTTGACATTACTGGTACTTTTATGGAGCGCATTAAACTCCTTTTTTTCAATGGTGCAATAAATATACAAATGTGTTGTTCATTAAAAGCCCAAATGACAGTTTTAAATTATCTCTTTAATTCTGTAGTGTAGATCCGCCAATCAAATCTATCCTTAAATACTGATGGTGTGCCTCGACCATTTTAGTGCCTGGTTCACTGTGCCTTGAGATGAAAAAGGTTGAAAATCACTGCAATAAAGGGTTAATATCAGCAGAGACAATTCTTATCCAAATAAAAAAAAATTTTCACAAAAATCCACAAGAACTTTGGAGATACAGTGGAGTTGTGATAATTTGTGAAATACAAATTTGCATTCTTAAATTTGCAGGTACAGTACCTCTATTACTACTGTACCTGTTTTTAAATTTTTAGTCAAATCTTAATAATTCGCAGCCAAGCGCTGGCTGCACCAGTGTTTATTCACATAAGAAACCATAAAAGGTGTGAAAATATCATTTCAATGCTCAAATTTGACTTGTAAATAAAGACAATATGCAGTAAATTCTTCAAATATGGACTAATGGAATATCTGTCCGGTTTGGCCGAAATTTCGGGTTGGGCGAAGGTTTGTACAGTACAGTATTGTCTTTACTGTACTCTGTATTACAAGGTGGAAATTTCGAGAGGATGGGGGGATTTTCAACTTCCAGTTACCGGGTACCTAAGAACAGTGAACCTACTGTAATTTTTAGCCTTGACATACACACTCACGAATTTTGTGTGCCATATGAACTTTTGTTAGCTGCTTGGGATTTTAATATGTGGAAAAGGGGATAAGTGGGGTTGCAAAAAGTGAGGTACTGTATTCCTATATCTACCCGAAATTACAAGTTGAAACTTAATCACTCTGTGTGATAACTCTGGTTCTGCAGGATCCCAGGAATGGAACCTCTTTTTCCCGATACATTATTAATATCAATATATGATCAATCACCTAACGATGACTTCGAAGTCCCTAACCCCATCGCATAACGGTCAAAACCTGTACTGTATATATTATTATATTATCATGATGCCATTGAGTCTTGAGATGATGAGGTGGTTGAGGCAGGAGATGATTGTATGACACTCAATTTACGCCACCTAAAGTGGAGGGAAAGTTATGTTTTCACAGCTAATTTCATTGACTATTTTATGTACTGTACACTATTCAGATTTCTTAAGACACTTTTACTGCCTCCTCAGAGGCAACTGTTTAGTTACCCTCTGTGCCACCACAGTGGCAGCTCCCACTTACACAAACTTTCCCCTATACTAACTGGATTTTGGTCGTCTTCTCCCGGGTTGGGGGATACATGTGTCTGGTGCTGGACCCCAGTCCGGTTTGCAAGGGGATCTGAATAAAGTGAGTCCAGATTAGAAGTAGTTTACTGTAATATGTGTATCACTTCAATGCTCTGATGTGACTTAGAAATACAGAAAAAATATAAAACTATAAAATAAGAAAAATGAAAAGTGGGGAGTGAATTGTGTGTGAGAGCTAGGGCAGTTGGGTGGTGGACTGAGGTCCCCCCTCCCCTGTTCCTGAGCACCCATCACCCCTTGACTCTCTTAATACAACATTATGCAATTTCACCATAATTCTCAAAGTGTTTAGGTTCATAAAACATTATCATAAAGTAATCAGTTGTGATGAAAAAATCCCACATTTAACCCCAGACGAGTTATTATGTGGTATTAAATTCCCAGTGTTTTGTTTACATAGTGCGGTCACAGTCAGCTTGGTACCTACCTGACTCATTGGCATATGTGTGTAACCCACAGGATGATTATGAGAAGGGAAGGAGTTGTTTATGTAATGTAGAACTACTTTTTGTGCAATATCTATGTGTTACTGTATTCTCTGATGTACAGTACAGTCACAATCCAGAGTTTCGACACCCCCCTGGCTGGGTGTTCGCCGAGGCCAGGGTTGAGGTAAGGCTGGGTGATCGGATGCAGACTAGTTCAGCATTGTGGTAACGAGGCACTACGATGGTGAGGTTCACATTCCACCACCACAACACTCCGAGACTCATAGCACACGAGGACAGGAAGGAACTTATTACTAACTTTGACATGGCATGAACTTGTATAACAAATGCATTCATAACATTGTTGCCACACATAACGATAACATGTTAAGATTAGAGCATGAAAACTTTGCCCGGTCCTAAAACACTGGCTTGGAACCACTAGATGCGAGTCCTCGTATTACACGTGAATCATCAGGGTAGTATACATAAAGGGTGGCCGGCGGCCGAATTTCGTCAAGAGGGGATGAGCGGTCTGTCGAGGCCTATACATGTATAGATATTACCATAACCCTGGGAATATTATGGTTTCACACACACTAGGAATTCATATACAGTAGTCATGTTTACAATATTTAATGGTGTATCAGTAACTACATTGGAGAATTTTGGCTTGGAATGTTGCAATTCACATTAATCATGGTATCATCCAAACAATTTTTGTCTGGTCCGGAGCAACGAATTTGCCAAAGACCTCGACCCTCAGCGTAGATGCCTGGCCGTGTGTCATCATTAGTGACTACTTCTTGGTCACTTGCCATGTTTCCTGTCTACTGCTGCTTTTAGTTCATAAATTTCACTTCATAATGTCTCAGAGTATGAGAGCTATGGCACAGAGGTCACCAATATTACAACTAGTTACGCATATGATTATTTTTTTATTTTTCACCTGAATGATAAATATCTATGACATTCTAATCATGGTGTTAGGTAACTTGGAGCTAATTTCCAACACGATACTTTTAGTCCATCAACACGTGATGTTTATCAATAGTATTCATATTTCATAACTGGGTCGAGAACAGCCCTAGTTTCTCATGCCTCACTCCTAACTTGCTATTGTTATGTGTGCCAACAATGTTATGAATGAAATTTTGTTATGCAGGTGCATGTCATGTCAAAATTCGTAAAAAATTCCTTCCATGTTCGTGTGCTGTGAGTCTCGGAGTGTTGTGGTGGTGGAATGTCTGAGTCCGATCACCCAGCCTTACCTCAACCCTGGCCTCGGCGAACACCCAGCCAGGGGGGGTGTCGAAACTTTGGATTGTGACTGTACTGTATTATGTATGATGTTTACTGTTTATTAAAGCAGTTTTGGAACAGTTTTGGGATATTTTTTTTTTACTTCTGGAATCAAACTAATTATTTCCATTTAAATAAATTAAACTATAATTCATGATTTTAAAATTCGCGAGGTCTTCTGCTATCTACAGTAATCCGCGAACTATCATGACTACCATATTGGTGCTTCAATCTCCTCGATCCCAGTGCCTAGGCAACATCTTAGTTTTACTTAATACGTTTATAAACTATTGTACAGTACTGTATTCAATAATATCAAGGATAAGTGAATTATAGGGTTAGATTCTACACATCTTTTTTGGGAAACTTTAATCAAATTGTCTTACAACCTCCGAGTAGTCATCAGTCATGTCAGGAGATTTTGCTAAAATGAAAGGGCTCCCATATTTTAGCAATGCTTTTTTAATCAGTAAACTAGATTACCCAACAAATTTGATAATTGTAAAGTTGATGAAGTGTTTCATTACAGGTACGGGTGAACATATCGACAACTTTGAGGAATTCAAGACAAAGCCGTTTATTTCCAAGCTGCTGGGTATGGGAGACATTGAGGGTCTTATTGAAAAGGTAAGTCTAAAGTGTAATACAATATACAATATCTCCAGCACAAATTCTATGGGACTGAGCAGTGTTTCATTTATTGATACTACAGTACTGTATTGGGTTATGGTCTGATTGATGTACAGACTTTTAGGAACTTTAACCGTGGAGTTTTGTTTTTGTGATGTAATTGTTGAATGTTATTTTTATATGATACTGAATTGTAATTGTAAAGATATATAAAACATTTAAAAACATTAACTTATTGTACTTATTCATATTTCTTTTTTTTATTCTCATCCAGCAACATTTATTGAAATCTCTTGTTCATAATGTTCGTCAAGGTTACCAAACTAGTAGTGTGTATGGTTCTTTGTTTTGCAGTGGCCTTATCTGAATCATTCTCAGCATTGAGTCTTAGCTGCTTTTCACATTGCTACTTGACAATGTATCTGATCATGTTAACACAATACTGCTACCTCAGGTTGCGTATTGATTTTGGTCGTGTGTGTGTGTCCCCTTAATGAAACTCATGAATAGGTTTGTGGATTTGATCAACTGTAACTAGGTCGATATGATAAAAAAAATTGCTAATCACACCAAATTTTACCAAATATGGCTATAGAGTTTTTCAGGGGTTAAGGAAAATGATGAAATGAGGCAGTCTCTAGCAGTGACTACATCAATTTACATGAACAGCATCACTAGTTGAATACAGTATGTATTTATGCTGCCGTGGTAATGGTTTGTGGGCAGGGGTTTTATTTGCTTGGATAATATTTTTAAGTGTAAATATTTCTGGAGAATGGGGTGAAGGAGGCACTACATTTCATAGTGTGGAATTCCTGGAAGCAACAGCATGTGTCCATAATGAGGAAGCTTGGTGTCAAGTACTTTTTGATGCTGAAATGATGTATGGGAATGGACTTGATGCTTAGAGGATGGGTGAAGTGTCATTGTAAACTAAATGGATATTTTGGGGCCTTGTGGAGAGAGAGAGCACCATAATAGATACATTAACTTTTTTAGTGAGGAAATTAGACAGAATGAATGACAAAGAATGAGGGAGAATCTGAATTGCTTTTGAATCTGGCCACCCTCTTGCTATATTAGAAGGGGCATTAAAATAATAAATTTCAAGCATTGGAATCTGTCATGGATAATCTGTTCAGATATACTAGTTGAAAATTAATATTAACTGAAATCGATAAAAGTACACCATTTGTTTTGCAGGTAAATGATTTAAAACTCGAAGACAATGAGGCACTGATCAAGAAGCTACAACATGGCCACTTCACCCTCAGAGACATGTATGAACAGTTCCAGAATGTTCGCAAAATGGGACCCATGTCACAAATTATGGTAAGAAATTAAAGTTTACTGCAGTAGAAATTATTCTCTTTAATAATCTGTGCCTTTCTACAGTGCTGAGCAAGCATAAGCATATATACTGGCAGCAATACATGTTAGTTAGTTAAGAGTTAATACGTGTAAGTCATGGAATTGATTGCAATACAGTATGTCATAAAAATTTATCTTTAACAAACTTAAGTAATTGATGGGAATATGTTATAAAAGGTTTTTATATATAGTACAGTATATAAAAGAAAATTTACACCATTTTTTTTCCACTGAAGCTGCCTTTAGAATTTTGTCAAAAATAAGTGATTCAGAGTAATTTGGAAGGATATGGTCTTTTTGAAAATTAAGTTTTGCTGTGTGAATGTTACCAAGGTTCATGTTACACTGTTAATATTGTTTGTTTAACTAATTATAATGTCAGAGTTCAGGCCAATTGGCAATTCATGTACAGTATTGCAGTTTGTGTTGCAAATTTTGTGCATTTTGGTAATACAAGTATGGGTATAAGATGCAGGGCAGTTTGGCAAGATATTAGTTATGTTAATACTGGTGTGTTTTGCAGGGAATGTTACCAGGGTTTAGTACAGACTTCCTGACCAAAGGTGGAGAACAAGAGAGCATGGCACGGCTGAAGAGGCTCATGACCATCATGGACAGCATGACTGATGAAGGTACAGTGCATAATTAAGGTACAAGTTATATTAGGCATAGTATAGGCATTCCCCAATTTATGAAGACCTAGTTGACAAAAAAAAAAAAGATTCACATACAGTAAACCCTCGTACTTCTGGACAATTAGGGGGGAAAAGGTGTCCGGATAAACCGGGTGATGAAGACATATTAATGATATTCATAATAATGTACATGGACTGTATTGATAATAACAACAATAATAATAATACTAGTAATAATGGTATTAAATAATAATACAGTAATAACAACAACAATGATAATTATATTCTTACATTACTCTATACAGTAAATGAAATGCAGTGAGTAGTGGTGGAGATGTGGAGAGGGTCCATTTTAGCAGCAGGGTAGTAAACTTGGCATACAGACTGAAAGAGGGACCGATTAATGAATTTGCCATATCCAGACATCGTTCGGACCAACCGAAATCCAGATCTGAGAGGTCTGGAAGTGAGGGGGTTTACTGTATTTGGATTTACATATGAGAAATCTGAAGTTAGGATATTTTTGGGGACAGCAACAAAAAATGCTGAAGTGCTGACACAGGCATCTCAGGGCTTCCCAAGTCAGACCAGGTCAATATATAAAGACAATATAACTAAAAGCAACATACAGGTATCCCCGATCTACAATATTCCACTTTAACAATGGTGATGTATTAAGACCACCACCCCTATTTACGGGTGGCCGCCAGGCAACCACCTGGTGCACTACAGTACCAAGCTAAGTTCCATGGTGATTGTACACCACAACCAATGGCACAGTTTCTCAGTAATTTATGTTTGTTCCACTGCATATGTTTCACTTATTTTCTTTATTATTGGCTTGTAATCATTGTGTATGCCAAAATATTTCATTAAAACATATTTTGTAGCATTTTTATTACATTTTTGGATAATTACTATTACTTAAATGCTAAAAAGGGATAGTATTTTATTTTTTGTGGAAAAGGAATACTGTACTCTAATACACCTGTCAGAGAAGGACTGTGTCAAGATGAATGATTAATAAGTGGTGAGCTCAGGAAGTGGTTAATGGATACTTCCTACAGATAAAGACACAGTACTGTTTTTATGGTAAGAATAAGTGTTAACATACTTTGTTTTCTCAAATTCCAGAACTGGATAGTCTGGATGGAAATAAACTCTTTCAGAAGCAGTTGAACCGCATAAGCAGAGTTGCACGAGGAGCTGGAGTTATGGAGATTGAGGTGAAGGACCTCCTTAATCAATATGCCAAGTTTGCTCAGATGGTAAAGAAAATGGGTGGAATGAAGGGCCTCTTTAAGGGTAAGTTAATAAGAAAACCTAAGATAGAGCCACGATGGTATTCTTCATAAAAGATTTGGTGTGTCAGCTCATATTGTTGGGATTAGAACTAACAATGAAATGTATCAGGCAGGTTTATTGATAGAATTAAGTTGATGGTGTGACACATCATCACACATGGGTGTATTGCAGTAAGTCATAGAGAAAATTATTTCAGCCATTGTCCGTTGCTTTGGTGCTGGAAGTTGAAGTAAAGTCATTATGTTTTGTTATAATAAGCCCATGAACCCTATTCCCAAATATTTTCAAAGGCCATCTTAGGTATTAAGATCCAGTAAAGTTTGTAGGACTCCAAAAAACAATATTTTGTGTTAATATTGAATAAAAAGCTTTATTCTCAAATATTTATACATTAGCCAGAGGATAGATTCTTTATCAGTTGATAATAAATAAATCACAAAAGTCAATATTAGCTCATGCAGAGGGGTTTAGGAGACAGAGTTTAATCATTTAAGACTGAGATTGAAATGGGTCTAAATGCTGCAAGAGGCTGCATGCACATCTTTCTTTGTATGCCATCAACCTTACTAGATTTCTGGCACCAGTAGTGTTTTGAGTCTCCTTAGCTTAACAGCTATACAATCGGAAATCCACGATCAGTCTTTGATTTATAACCCTACTTTGGTTCAAGTAGACTCATGATTTAAGAGCCAATTAGATTCTGAAAAAAAAAAACGCTGTGTGCCTGCTATAAAATAAGTCACCCTCTCCATAAAGCATAAATAAATGAGTTGTTACTCTTTCCTGGATATCCCAAATCTCTATCTTTGCCTATAAATGTTATTTTTGGAACATCATTCTTGAGGAAGAACCATTTCCATAGAATTTCTATACCTTTTGCACTTTTCTTTAGATAGTCATTAATATGTAGGAAGACAGTTCCCCTGAGACTTTTCCCTGTATTACCTATGAGTGAGGCCTGTAGACTTGATGAATAAAATCACATGTTCTTTGGGCTGACATAAAACTGTAGAATGGTCTCCCAAGCTCATAATTAGTTGCTAATGTCAGACTGCCATTGTGTAACTCCAGTAGATCAAATGTATGAATGTAGAATATTAGCAAAAGGAGACTGACAATATAAATCTGTTAACAGGAGGAGACATGTCGAAGAATGTGAACCAGATGCAGATGAATCAACTGAACCAACAGATGGCCAAGATGATGGACCCTCGTGTGCTGCAGCAGATGGGAGGCTTCAAGGGTTTAGAGTCCATGATGAAACAACTCCAGCAGGGTGGTGGACCCATGGGAATGGGCAAAAATCCCTTCAAATGATTAATTTGGGCAACATAGTTCCCTTGGGGCCGACATAAAGTGACAACAGATTTTTATATGCGTGAGTGATGTTTGCACTTTAAGGATTTACTTACATGGAAGCAAAGCTCTCAGATTAAAATGAATTTGAAAAATAATATATTATTTTTGATAAGGATTAGTAAAGTACTCCAGCTATGTTGATGATTTATTTATTTACTTCAGTTTAGTCCTCAAGTTTAAAGGTAAGTATAAAAAGAAAACATCAGTATTTCAGATGCATATAAATTTTATGTTGCTATTCATTAGCAATTGATTATATAATAGTATCATTTCTATGTAAGGACTTCCTCGTAGTTTGTTACTTGTAATAAGAAGGTGAATTATTAAAGATTTTATAATATAACACTTTTATTGGCATACAATCATACAGAGTTTTAAACTAGAACAGTTATACTGTACTGTATATGGTACATATATATACAGTGCAGTACAATATAAGGGTACTCTATAATGTATGTATATAAAGCGTAAACGTGGAAATTGTACAGTATTTTTTACATAATATCTCCTTAAAGAAACAAAAGAGCATTCACCTCACAGTCAATGGTCAGGGGATCAGTTCCCAACTGGAGAGTAGGATTGGGTTTCCTCTTTGTACACTAGCCCTTGTACATGCAAAAGTAATGTGTACACTACTGGATGGCAAGGATGTGTGCGCCGTAGAAGGTGATGGGGGTACCGTTGGCAGCGAACAGGTCATATGAGGGTTGCTTCGGTGTGTCTTGCAGCAAAGGAGGTATGATGCTGACCAATGCCTCTGTGTCAACGAGGAATTTCCTGCTGAAGATGCGGTCGGTGATATGCAGCAGTGAGACGCCTGAAGTGATGGAGGTTGTGGCGTCTACCAATCCCCGTCAATGCCGTTTCCCGAGTAGTTGCAGGGAGCCTCACAACGTCTAGCGTTATCACCGAAGCGTTGATGGTACCAGCAGAGGGTAGGTGCACCGTGCTGGGAGCTGGCGGCGGTGTCCGAGGCAGGACGAAGACGTCGGGGTTGGTAGGACACAGTGCGTGGGGCAGGAACAGGAGCAGCAGCAGGCATGGAGGAGCATAGCTGCTCGAGGGTGTCCATCCTGCGGTGTAGAGACTGTAGCAGGGGTCTCATGTCTTGTGAGGTGTTGCTCGTCTGAGTAACGTTGATCCGGTTAACAAGATCAGAGGTAAGTGATGGTGTGGCCACTGAGTTGTCCGCGGCAGCATGGCGCACAACAGTGTATTCATGGAATATTCTCTCTGCCGTGGCTGCGTAGGTCGCCGGGGTTGTAGAGTAGTCCATGGTGAGGTGAACTTCTGCGGGGAGCTTCTAGGCGTGAAGCTGGCGCATGACAGTGTCAGGAAGCCTGTCTGTGTGGCAAGAGTTCAGTCTATGCATCTTGTCCCAGAGACGTGCAGGCGTTGAGTTGCCGAGGGGTAGACTTGATAGGTCTTGCAGGAGACTGGCGTCAGGCCACTGGTATCACCTCTTCAGAGCATCTCATAGAGCTGCGAATTTGTTGTCAGCTGGAGGTTGGTGATGACTTCTGAGACTCCTGTGGACAAGGAACAGACCAGGGTGACTTACTTCTGCTCGTCTTTAGCTGTTGAGCCGACGAGAACTGCCTCCACATGAATTATCCAGTCGTTGATGTTGTGGTTGAAGACTGGGAAAGAGATCCGTTTCTCATCCATCCTTGTGTGAGTGCATCACTCCGTTGGTCACCAATTGTAGCGTAGTGTATGTGGCGCAGTTGTCTAAGTTCAATTTTTTTTTTATGGTCACATACACAACTACAATAAAGGAGATCTTACACTCAGGGTGAAGGTGAGAAAGGAAACTCAGAATAGCTTAACTCTACATGTATTGTATGTACACTGCAGTGCTAGGGAGTTGCTGTGTGGTGAGGAGCATGTTGAAAGGTGGTCCTGTCCGTTTGAGAGCTTTGAGTAGAATGACCTTCCTGGTGAGGCTGGGGGTATTTATACGATTCTGCCGGATCAGGCTTAGAGGTGTAAGGTGAGCGGCGCTGCTGATTGGCTGGGCGAAGACGGCAGGTGACCAATCAGCGAGCGATTTGAGGGAAGAGACTGTGGTCTGGAACTCGCTGCTGATTGACATAAGCGAGGACGGGAGAGGAGTTGTAGGGAGAGTAGATCACTACAATACAAAATTCAAATTTGCTAAGTGATATACTAACTATCTATTCTGTACCAATTACTGCCCGTACCCTTTAACACTGCTTTATACGATAGTCACTGCCTGGCCAGAAAGCTTTTTAAATTTCTCACTCTGCATTTCCTGCCCTGTCAGAGTCTCTATATCCACTTATCTATCGCCACAGCACAATTGGCCACTTCTGGTCCGACGCAAGGTGAGGCTGGGTCACGTCACTGTTTGTGAATGTAAATGTCATCAACAACGCATGCGCAATTATCGTTTCGGCTACACCTGGCCGGGTATTGTACCTATGACTGACGCTTGTGAGTGACGAGTGTGTTCCCATTATTGATGTTACAATGTTATTACTGCGCTTCAACAACTAAGGTCTTTAATCGCGTAACAATATAAATAATTACACTAGTACATCAACAATTAAAGATTGTGAGCAACAGAACTGTTTGGGAACTAAAAATCCTACTTACCCAAGAGGTCTGGCGGGCGTAGCACCTCTTCCTTCGACTACAATGCTCATTTTACATACCAATTATCACCACTTGCTCCAGATCCTTGAATAACAGAACCAGCATGTTAGGTGTTTAATATTTGTGGAAATTATCTAATTCTTTAAGATGTAATGAAACAAACTCTCTTATTAAAAAAAAAGTTTATTTCCATAGCTGATGATCTACTGGCAGATACCAGATTTTCAAACGGTCATATATGGAATTGTTAGATTCCTGTACTGTACTTTAATGTACTTTTAAATACTTTCTCAATTTTTAATTGTATAAATAAATTTGTGCTTAATAAGGTGGTAGTCATGAAGGTGTGGGATGGTTGAGAGTGCAGTAGATTACAGTCGCTGAGATCATCTGCTTTCACCTCTGGTACATAGATCTTGAACACCAACCACCTGTAATAAGATTTTGAATTTAGATCATTCTTAATTAACATTAATGTATCATTACACAACATTTACCCCAAAATTTCTTGCATTCTATACTTGCATCCTTACATATATCCATACATTTGAGCACCTTTCTATAATGCCTTGCACGTGAGCACCAGCCTTCCTGCTCTCTTATGGCTGCAGCAGTCTTCTCACAGGCATCACCCACAACATTCCTTCACAGTACATGCCATTTTACTCAGATGAATTTAACATTCACTATTAACCATTGTATGGTGAGCACACCACCACTCCCCGTGCACGAGCGCCCCTCCACCCAGTGGCGTAGCTAGAGAGCTAGAGTGTGTGCCGCCCGGGGCGGCCCTTGAGTTTACCCCCCCCCGGTCCCCACAAAAAATACATATTGCATAGTGACTCATTCTTATATATATATATATATATATATTAAATAGTTTGTGTACCATTATAATATTACTGTACTTTCACATACTCAAATATAGTATGCTTTAAATACACACCAAACACACTTAAACTTTATAAGTAACAGTTAAACAAAAAGCAAAAACGACATATAGGATAGGGAAAAAAGTAAAAAAAAGTGTAAAAATTAGCACCATCTTTATTTCTGAAATGAAAACTACAACTTTCTACAAAGTAACTTTTCTTGTTTTTTTGTTGGCAAATTCTTCAATGACATTGTCAAAAACTATCTCATCTGTCAATTGTCGCTCTATAGACAGTATGGCAAGATTTCTCAACCGCAAGGTGCTCATAGTAGATCTTAAGTAATTCTTGATCAGTTTTAGTTTCGAAAAACTCCTCTCACAGGTAGCAACACTAACAGCAATTGTGAGGAAAATCCTCAGCATTATTACTATATTTGGAACCGAGTTCCCAAGGTTATACTTTTGAATAAACTGCAAAAGTTCAAGGGGGCCTTCTTTCCACGTCTGTATTCTGTCTTTAATAGTTATAGCAGCAACAGCAACAAAATGCTGAAGTCTTTTTCTCTCAACGAGGAACTCCTCTTTATCAATGTCGTCGTGATCGTGATCTATTTGACACTCATATTTATCATCCAAAAGATTCAATGGGGTAAGGAAGGCATATTTCTCAGCAAGTTCATGAAGCTGTTGAAATCTCAAAGTTATTTCTTGGATCACTCTGTCCAGCGAAGAAAACATTTCTCTCCTCAGTTCAATGTCGTATGGCAATTCAGCATCTCGTGATCCTTCACCAAACATTTGTTTCTTCTTTTTGGGTCGACGCTGACGCTCCATGACTATCCCCAGATCATTGCCCTAACCTAACCAATAATTAACCACAGAGAAGAACAGTATATTTTACCCTCAACTATTTAATTATGTCCGTAACTTTTGAAAGCCCTTACTGTTGTCAGACAAAAGCCACCCCGTCGATCAAAGTAGGGGGCTTTTGTCTGGGTGGCTTTCGTCTGGGGGGCTTTTGTCTGGGTGGCTTTTGTCGGGGGGGCTTTTGTCTGTACCCCAGTGAGGATAGTGTCTTAGTATAAAATCGCAATGCTGTGAAACAAAATCTTAATATTTAATCTCAGTACCGCAGCAAAAGTCACATCAATATTTTTTAACCAATACTTTAATATTTCTTACCTTATAGTATTATGTCTTCCAACGAAGTAAATAACTGGATCGAAAACACAAGAGAACATAAAAGTCGTCTAGCCTCCCCTCGTCTTGTCACGATGGAGACTTGTGCAGAACTGAAGTGAATTGCTTGTAACTGGTGGATTGGTCGGCTGTACATGAACTGATATGATGCGACTCTATTCAGAGATAGTGAAGAAAACTAATTAAGTGAGATAGTAGTGATTAGTAACGATGTTAGTAAGCAAATAGACAAACTAAAGCCAAATAAGTCACCTGGTCCCGATGAGATATTTGCCAGAGTGTTAAAGGAATGTAAGGAAGAGCTTAGTATGCCCTTAGCAAAGTTGTTTAACATGTCATTAAAAACCGGTGTAGTACCAGAATCCTGGAGGATAGCGAATGTAATACCGATTTTCAAGAAGGGGGATAGATCACTATCCTCTAACTACCGCCCAATCAGTCTAACATCAATAGTAGGCAAATTACTGGAAGCAATCATTTCAAACTCTATTCGAAATCACCTGGAGAAGCACCGATTGATCAATGATTCCCAGCATGGCTTCACAAGCGGACGTTCTTGCCTAACTAATCTATTAACATTCTTTTTCATCAGTTTTCGAATCGGTGGACGAGGGGCACAATTATGATGTGGTATATCTCGACTTTAGCAAAGCCTTCGACAGAGTCCCCACGAAAGACTAATTAGAAAGGTAGAAGCTCATGGCATCAAAGGTGACATCCTTAAATGGATTAGGGCGTGGTTACAGGACAGGAAACAGCGAGTGAGCATTAACGGCACTAAGTCCCATTGGAGCAACGTCACAAGTGGAGTTCCCCAAGGCTCAGTACTTGGACCATTATTATTTATTATATACATAAACGACATAGATATCGGCATAGACAGCAACATAAGTAAATTTGCTGATGACACTAAAATAGGACGTGTTATTAAATCTGACGAGGACTCCGCAAAACTACAGGAAGATCTAAACAAATTTTTCGAATGGTCTGAAAAATGGCAGATGAAATTCAACGTCGACAAATGTAAAGTACTCAGTATAGGAGATGTAAACAGGGAAACCAGATACCAGATGAACAACGATGCCATAGAGAAATCCGACTGCGAGAGAGATTTAGGAGTAATGATAAGTAGGAACCTTAGCCAAGTAAACAATGTGTTTTTGCTCGTAACAAGGCTAATAAAGTACTTGGGTTCATACAAAGGAGTGTTAGTTACAAGACTAGCGAGGTCATCCGAAAACTGTATCTTGCTCTTGTGAGACCACACCTGGATTACGCAGTTCAGTTCTGGTCACCGTATTACAGAATGGATATAGAATCCTTGGAAAGAATTCAGAGGAGAATGACAAGACTAATCCCGGGCATTAGGAACCTTGAGTATAGAGACAGGTTAAAGCATCTTAATTTGCACTCCTTGAGAGACGAGAGCGAGGGGCACCTGATAGAGGTGTATAAGGAAGTCAGGGCTAAACAAAGGGGACATTACAAAGGTACTCAAACTATCCAACCAGGAGCGAACTCGTAACAATGGTTTTAAATTAGACAAATTTAGATTTAGGCGTGAAATAGGTAAACACTGGTTTGGAAACAGAGTTGTGGATGAATGGAACAAGTTACCAAATATCATCATTAACTCGAATACGCTGAATAGCTTCAAACATAGGTTGGATGCTCATATGAGCAATAGGGGTTAGCGGGACTGCCCAGTATGGGCCAATAGGCCCGCTGCAGTTTCCTCATTCTTATGTTCTTATGTTGACCCGAGACTGCATGGTTTTGCAGCTACTGGAGACGTTAATCCTTCCCTTTGTATGGGCGGCAAGTTAATCCTCGTCGTGTCTGACCTAACACCTGACCCACACCACATGAGCTCACTGGCGTACTTGTTTGAAGTTGTTTCCTTAATCCTCAACAGGTTACAGGTTGTGTGTGTGGCGGGGGGGGCGCATAGCAAGGGTGTAGCTCATGACGTGGCCGTGATGATGTGGGTCAGGTGTTAGGTCAGACACGACAAGGATTAACTTGCCGCCGATACAAAGGGATGGATTAACGTCTCCAGTAGCTGCAGATATGGGTGATGAGCAGACCCAAAAGTGCCGCCCCCCAAAAGTGCCGCCCGGGGCGGACCGCCCCCCCCCCCGCCCCCCCCTAGCTACGCTAGTGTAGTTATGCCTGTACCAGAGTAACTTTATAGATTTACCAAAGGAAAAATCCAAAGCAAGTGTTCTAACAAGTGCTGACAGCATTCCTGTAAATGAAAATGGGAAATGCACTACAGTATTTAAGCATCAAGAAGCTAGTACAATATGTAGCCTTCATTTTTAACCGTGCTGTACAGTGCATAATGATTTAGGAATGTTGTATAGTGTCCAATTTTTTATGCAATCATTGATTTTTTTTCCATCCCAGAATTTTATGGGGTTTTATTGCCTCATGTCAGCCTAGGGAGACAGGTATTGTACCAATCATGTCTATGGACTGAAACCCAGGGTGACCCTCAACATTAATAGGTGGCACTAAGCAAACAATTAATACCATTTTCTTGTCACAATATGGAGACTTAGAAGAGGGTACTGTATCTGGTAGACACAAGTCACGACTGTGAATCATCTTGGTGTTGTAGCAGGTTATGCAGTGTAGTTCTCCCTGCATAAAACTTGGGCAGCTTTTAAGGTTGCACCACATGATTCCTGCATTGTTAACATGGTGGTATACCAGCCTATATTTGATTCAGGATGCAAGATTGTTTTCATTTGGTGTTATTAATCCAATTACCAGTTCAATTTATGGTTGTGTGTGGTTCTGATTTTTACAAGATGGATATTTGGCCCGTGGGTTGGGAATACCATAGTATAGTACAGTAACTGGTTTGGGGCCAAACAGGGTTAAAGGAATCCCTGTTAATGATGTTTGTTGGAAGCTGACGGGAGTTCTCATCATGGATAATTGGGTTGCATATCCACTTAGGTCATCAATATAAGTAAATACTGTACTGTCGTAACATCTTGATTCATGAACCTCCCAGTGTCTGTCCAGTTGTTTCTGCGTTCAAAACGTTTGGAAAGTAGTCCGATGATATTGAAACCACTGAATCACTCAATAAAGTAATACATTTAAGAATTCAATCCAATTTGGATTCTCAACTACAGCTAAGCTGAAATATACATAATTTCCTAAGTAAGTCATATTAATTGTAAAATATTTTGTGTGAGAGAACCATCGCACTAGTTTGTTTACATCTGGATCACGCAGTTCATCAAAACGCCGGGATGATTACTAGGAATAAATAGAGCTATAGATTGTTCACCATGGCTGCTGGGCCTATAGCAGAACGTAACCAAGGTCAGTGAAATATATGGTAATTGTTTTATTTAATATTTAGGTTTTCAACGCTAATATACTGTACACAGCCTTAAGCTGCGACCAGGCTGACAGTAGCTATGTACACAGACACTTATGGAGGAAACGGCAGCGGGCCTATTGACCCATACTGTGCAGTCCCGTTTATACCCAACCCCTATTGCTCATATAAGCATCCAACCTATGTTTGAAGCTATTCAGCGTATTCGAGTTAATGATGATATTTGGTAACTTGTTCCATTCATCCACCACTCTGGACATGGTCGAGAGGTTTAGAGCTATACTTAAAGACTCATCAGCCACACACAGTCGGTGATATAGAACTGCTCTATATTAAAAAAAGAATGATCCTAATAATTGCAAGTTTAATACCCATATCCGTATCAGACGAACCTCTCCAAGGCACTTGGTAAGATGTATGTTTTTTTTTATGCTGTAGGTTAAATATTAGTTTGGTAAATTTATGATAGTAGCCAGATTTCGATTTTTACATTAAAAAAAATATGTTTTTCCTTTGGTTCTTGTGATTCAAACGAATCTGCCAGAAAGTGTTATGACAGCACCGAGTGTAAGCTCTTTCAAGACTAGACTTGACCAACAGTGGAGCAGGTTCAGGTACATTCAGGAGCCGGTGCTTGCCCATTACTTGCCAACAGTGCATTCCAGAGATGTGACCGATCTCCCAAACGGCTAACGAGCCTATCAGTGGCGAAGAGGGAATAGTAAACAAACTGAACGGAAACATAACATAAGAACATAAGAAAGTGGGATACTGCAGGAGGCCGACTGGCCCATACAGGGCAGATCCCTTTCACACCCATCCCAGCACTTCCATTTGCCTATCCAACTTCGTCTTGAAGCTCCCTAGCGTCCCCGATCCTACTATAGCACTCGGTAGCCTATTCCACATATCCACAACTCTATTACCAAACCAGTGCTTGCCTATATCCTTTCTGAATCGGAATTTATCTAATTTAAAGCCATTTGTTCTAGTTATTTTGTTATTACTGAGCTTCAGAACATCTTCCATTTTACCCTTGTTAATCCCACTTACCCACTTGTACACCTCTATCATATCTCCCCTAACCTACGCCTCTCTAATGAATGTAAGCCTAAGCTTTTCAGTCTTTCTTCATATGGAAGGTTTCTAATATTATGGATCATTTTTGTCATTCTTCTTTGTACTCTCTCCAAAGAATCTATGTCCATTCTATAATAAGGACACCAGAACTGAACCGCATAATCCATGTGTGGCCTCACTAATGCTAGGTAAAGTTTCAAGATAACGTCAGCAGTTCTGTTACTCACAGACCTAGATATGAACCCAAGAATCCTGTTTGCCTTGTTGCGAACGCTAATACATTGTTTTCTAGGTTTCAAGTCGTTGCTAACAAATACACCTAGATCTTTTTCACAAACTGAGTTTTCTATTTCCGTGTTACCTAGTTTATACTTAACGTTTGTATTCGTCTTCCCTATCTGTAGTACCTTGCATTTATCAGTATTAAAATTCATTTGCAAATTTACTAATCCTACTAGTTATGCCTAAATCAAGATCATTAATGAATATAACAAACAGCAGAGGGCCTAATATAGATCCCTGGGGAACTCCGCTTTTGACCGCACCCCAGTCTGACTTTAATCCATTTATGCTGACTCTTTGTTTCCTACCAGTTAACCATGACCTAATCCATTTTAATACTGATCCACCTATTCCATGTGCTTCTACCTTCCTTATCAATCTCTCATGAGGGACTCTATCGAATGCTTTACTGAAATCTAAATAAATTATATCATATGACTTATCATTATCTACCGCTTCATATACTTCTGAGAAAAAGCTATTCAAATTTGTGAGACAAGAACGTCCCTGGGTGAACCCGTGCTGAGAAGAATGAATTAAATTGAATGTTTCAAGGTGGCTTCTGATTTTTGTAGCAATAATTGACTCTAGCAACTTGCCTATGATTGACGTGAGACTAATGGGACGGTAATTTGATGCAATTGATTTATCACCCTTTTTGAAAATCGGAACTACATTTGCAAGTTTCCAAGCTTCTGGCACTAGGCTACTCTCCTAAATTAACCATTATTTTTAAAAAGCGCCTGGTAATTATTCAGTTTAGCTTATGACCAGGACTTCAGGATAAAAATATATTCTTATTGAATTTAATTCTGAATTGATTTTCTTCTGTGTAATTTCTTGTGCAAATGAGCGGTTATGGAGATATGCCCCTCTTCCATCCATCCAATTTTGAATTCCACAAAAGTGGGCAGGGCTTTGAGTTGGAGGAAAATTGTGAGATAAAAGAGGGCGTGGGGGCATTACTGAACCTTAAAAACCTAACCCAACCTGATTTAATGCTGTGTTCCTAGCCGAACCCCCCATTCTTCTTGTCATGGCTGGCGAGGGTTGCATCGTAATCACGTGCTGATTTCGTCGACAGACCTTCACATTAATTGATCCAAATATGGCTTATATCCCTGCACAAGAAATACAGTAGAAGAAAATTGACTCCATTAAATTCAATTTAAAAAGAACCTATATTCATCATGTAGTCCAGTTCATCATGTGCTAAACCAAATATTAACCAAATGCATAATTATTGAGTTATGACCCTTCCTACACTATCAAGGTACAGATTTGTTTTATGCCATAATGGGAAAGTTTTATAAAGTTGCTGGCTAATCTGTGCCCCCATTACAGATTATTATCTAGGTAGACAGGTAAGAAATGATGAGGCTTGTTAGTTTTCATACTTGACTGTCCCGCTTTTCCAGATGCTACAATTTATGTTGGAGGGCTCGATGACAAAGTGTCAGAAGGGCTCTTGTGGGAACTATTTGTGCAAGCAGGGCCGGTAGTGAATGTTCACATGCCCAAGGACCGCGTCACCCAGCAGCACCAGGGTTATGGCTTCGTTGAATTCATGGGTGAAGAAGATGCTGACTATGCAATAAAAATTATGAACATGATAAAGGTGAGATTTATCAAGCTCTGATTATGTTTTAAGTAGTTTGATCTTGTTTACAACATACTTTAAGTACTTGTATGGTCTTATTTAATTCAGTTCACGAGTGAGAATAATTGTAAGTGTTATGGATCTTGTGGATGTGATGAAAATAAAGCTCCTCTGGTACAATCTTATACTACAAAAATATGTGGGCTATTGTTTTATGAAGTTTAAAAAGCATTAAGGAAACTAAATGTTATGAAAAAGCATGTTAAGTACAATATACAGTAATGAGAAGTTTGTTGCTTTTGAAGAAATATTTTTTTGGGTAAGTATTTATTGTTTTTTTGTTGTTTAACCTCTCATACAATATCTAGTTGAAGCCACTTCTTAATTCCAGAATGTTATTTTTCTTGTGTCATGAACAGACTCATGGCCAGACTGGCTATAAAATGGAATTTCAGGGTCGTGTGTGTGTGTGTGATGTTAATAATAGTAATGATACAGTAAAATTTCTTTAATCCGGACTAATTGGGGAGAAGGTCTGTCCGGTTTGGCTGAAATTCTGGGTTAGGCGGAGATCTGTATTGTCTATATTCGCGAGGATGGGGGATTTCCCACTCAAGCTACCTAAGAACACCGAACCTACTGTAAATTTTAGTTTAGACTTAACACTGAGGCTTTTTATATGCCATATGATTTTTTTATAGCCTCTTAGGGAAAAAGTTAACATTTCCTTGGTTTTTCATCTGCTCTCGGCAGCTTGGTGCTGGCTCTCAGTACAACTGTATACTTGGCGAGTTACCCATCAGCTGATGTTGCTGGGCTTTCTCATACATCTGGTAGTCATGTGCTGTATGCGATGTTCATGATTTTTACAGTGAAGTGGTTGGAATGGGGCTGTTCTTATACTTGTCGTTGTATGGCTGAATGTGGTTGTGGTGTCATGTGCATTGTCTTTGTTGAAACACTAGTATTGCTTAGATGTGTTACTGATATCATCCTTTTCTTCAGCTGTTTGGTAAACCTATACGAGTCAACAAGGCATCAGCACATCAGAAAAACCTGGATGTTGGTGCGAATATATTTATTGGGAACTTGGATCCTGAGGTGGATGAGAAACTTCTGTATGACACCTTTTCAGCTTTTGGTGTCATTCTTCAGACACCAAAGGTAGGTATCCTTTTTCTGTACTTTTATGTTTTCTTGGTATTGGGCTCAAATTTTAATTTCACTTGCAGAATCTTTCTCAAAATTGTTCTATTCTGCATTTAATAATGCTGAGTTGGCAGGATTGCTTGAGACATAAATTTATTGCATTCTGAACAGGTTGGTATCAAACAACTGGGTACGACAGATTTTAGAATGAGCACTATGGCTCTTGTCATCTCAGAATGGTTGGTATGTTTCTTTGTGAAGTGACTCAGTATTTCATAGTAATATATATTGCGTGCCTTTACAATATTTACAGGTAAAAAGAAATAATTTAACCTACAAAAAAACTTCCTTGGAAAGCAAAGAGTTATCATTCATTTTCTCAATGTATGACATTTACAGTATTTGAGAACTTTTTTGCCAACTGTACATGAAATTCTTTTGTGTTACACTACCAAATATCATGCTGGAATTGTATCTACAAATTCAAAATAGAAAAGGGAGGGGGAGGGAGCCTGAAGTCACTTGTGGTTTCGTGGAGAAATTTTAAGCACCATTATCTGTATTCAGACCTATGATACATTGTAGAAAAGATCCACCAGTATTAATTATTAAAAGTACAATGTCGTGGTTGTTACATTAGTCAGATTTGTTTCTTTAGTTTTGTAGATTTCTTGTTATTTGACTAGTACCACCAGTCCCACATAAGGACCCTAATGGAATTAAATTTCTAATGTCATTCTTGGTCATATCCTATGACTGTTTGCCATAGACTTTGTTGAAATCATTAAATATTTTAGAAGCTGATTATTCTAACACGTTTGAGAGTCGGGAATCTTTCGGTGATGCTTGAAATATTTGTTGGAGAGTTTTGCAATTTAATTTGACTAATTAAGCAATCACCTCATACATTTCATGGAAATAAGGGTTTGTGAAAAAAATGGGTTATTAGTGTACAGTACTGAATTTATTTTGTTTTAGTCATGATCGTTGGACCTAAAATTTTTCATTATGTTTTCTTTACAGATCATGAGAGACCCAGACACAGGCAACTCAAAAGGTTATGCATTTATCAATTTTGCCTCCTTTGAAGCATCTGATGCTGCCATTGAAGCAATGAATGGACAGTACCTATGTAATCGATCCATCAGTATATCCTATGCCTTTAAAAAGGATAGCAAAGGAGAACGACATGGTACTGCAGCTGAGCGGCTGCTTGCAGCTCAAAATCCTTTGTCACAAGCTGATAAACCTCACCAGCTATTTGCTGATGCTCCGCCACCACCCACCCAGTCTGCCCCTCCTCCTCCTGCTCCTCCCCCACCTCCATCCTCAGCTGGAGGAGTCACATCAAATGCCCCACCTGGTATGTCTGTGCCTCCTCCTGGCATGCTAGTCCCACCCCCACCTCCTGTACCACCTCCACCTGGAACCTCTTCTTCTGTTCCTCCTCTTCCCAATGCTCCACCCACGACTTCTGTGCCTCCACCACCTGGTTCAGCCCCTCCCCTTCCACCTATGCCTCCACCACCTTCAAAACCTCCTCTTCCTGGACAACCTCCTCTTCCTCCTTCAGGGCCCCCAGGACCTCCTGTATCAGGACCCCCAACTTCAAACTCGGGACCAATGCCACCCTTTGGGCCATATCCACCACGTCCTGGCATGCCCCCACCTCCCTGGCAAGGTGGGCCTGGAATGCCACCACCTCCTGGTATGCCTCCACCTCGACCTGGTCCACCAGGAATGCCACCACCTCCGGGAATGAGGCCTCCTCCCCCAGGATGGAGGCCTCCGCATCCAGGTGGACCCCCTGGAAGGCCTCCATTTGGGAGACCACCATATCCTCCAAGAGGTCCTCCTGGGCCACCACCAATGCCTGGAATGGGACCACATATGCGAGGTGGGCCTCCATTGCCTCCTGGCCCTCCTCCGTCTGGACATGGGCCCATGCCTCCTGGTCCTCCACCAAGAGGAATGAGACCTCCACCTCCTGGGGTGCCTGTTTCTAGCAGTGGAAGTGGTCCTCCTCCCCCAGGCATGGCACCACCACCACCTCCTCCACGTCCACCTCTGCCACCCCCACCTCCAGGTGGAGAAAAGTAGATGATGGGATCATCCTCAAAGTAGTTTTTATTTTTTCCGGGGAATAGCCCACCCGGGCACAGGTTCACGACCCACAACAGGGCCTAGGGGGCAAAGAAAATAAGAGTAAAAAGAAATTAAAAAATAAGAGAAAAAGACTAGTAATGTACACCACAAAGATACCAGAAAACCAGCTTTCTAAATGTTAAAGAAAATTTTTTTTAATGTATGGTAATATTTTAACTTGTGTTGTAATTTTGTGCTATGAATTGTGAACTGATTTATTAAACTGGTATACAGTACTATGAATAATAAAAGGAAATTGTTTGATATGTTATCCACGCCTTTTTAATATAGTGTTTATACAATAACATTGTGTTCTTTACCAAATATCTTAATGGAAAGATTGAAATTCCTGTACAGTACATGAATAAATATACTGAATAGGAAATCTACTAAGTAAAAGCACACACTGTTTTAATTGTGCTGTCATGTATTATGGTAGTCCTTGCTACATACTCCTGCTATAATTGTTTTAACATTCAATATACAAAATTTATGATATATTGAACACCATTCACTTTATGTAGAAATATTTTGCTGATGTGCATTTTTTCCAGTCATGCAAATTTTCAAAAATTGTACTTGGGCTATTATACTTTGGACTGCACCACTTAATTGCAACCTGAGTTACTCCAAAGAATAGGGTTCACTGCACTGGTGCCTTTGCAAACCCAGGGTATCCGGTCAGGGGCCTGTTCTTCATTTACAAGCGGGAAGAATTGGTGTTTGTATTTAGCTCAATTGGTGTAAGACAGAGGTTTTTAACTTTTTCCACCCTATTTCTTCATTTTCCATCTTCCACTAAGGACATTGTTCCCCACCAATTCAAATAAAAGAAACAGAAAATTACTACAGTTTTTGTTCATGATATATTTATATAACTTGTAACAGGGTGATTCATTGATGAAAAAAATAATAATTATTCTTAGGTAATGCCAAAAATTAGCCAACAAAATCACTACAAAATATCTTTGTGGGATTTTTGGAACTGCTTCTTGTCCACATGGCTGTTGAAATTGGGTGGTTCCTGAAAGGTCGCAGCTCTTAGTCCCGTACAAGGGAGTGTTGGATACATGAGTTGACCAGGAGATAAAATTGAATGCTTCAGACTGGGGACAGGCACTAACACCACACCTCACGGCTCAAGCAGTGTTACTAACTTGTATATGAGATGTAATGATCCTGACACGACACACGAAAGAGGGAAGATTCTCCTATTTTGAGGAAATGTTCGGAATGATTTTTCCCTTCTCATTTGGTGCTACACAGCAAAAGAGTAACCCCATTAAGAACCCCTGGTCTTGGATCATCTTCACCTTTAGTCCAGGCATCCCATTCATGTATTTGGGTACAAGTATTTTTATGAAACTTGAGGCTGAGGATGATTTTGGTTGGATTCCATTAGTCTGTGTTTTTCAGCCACCATAGACTGTTTTGGTTAACTTTTCATTTCTGGGCTGTAACAATTTCCATTCTTTTCTTGGAACTTAGTACTGTATATATAGTACTATACAGTATAGAATACCGGGTTAGATGCTATGAACAGCTTATTGCTTAGTTTGTGAAATTCATGCACACTAGTAATTTGGTTCATGATTTACAAAAAGTATAAAGTTTGGTAGTTTTATTAGAATTTTATTTTAATTAACTAAAGAATATACATTTGTTTATGGATTTGAAGAACTTAGTACACAATGAGTAAGTTTTTAACCGAGTTGAATGAATGTAAAGTGTGTTTTTGTCAATGTCAAAACCACCTAGAGACAACCTCGAGTCATATCAGTTCCCTGCGCTCTGGTGAGTACTGTACAGCACAGCAGTACTGTACAGTACAGTACGCGTACTATGCATTATTCAGTGTCATATGTTATTTTTTATTCATAAAAAATTATACAGTATTTTCACTTGCCAATGGTGCTTGTGTAAATGAGAGGATCTGATCATCCCTGTATACTGTAATTGGAATACCCTATAGTTTTAACCCTCATAACCACCCCATTTTTTTACAGGGAAATTTAAGTGAGATTACTGTAATCGATTAATTTGGGAAAATGGATTAACTGATAAGCTAATTTCAATTATATTAGCCCACCCAATGTAACCATTGTTTTCATTCATATACTTTATTAAGGACGCGGACCATCGTCGTTCCCGCCAAACTTGTTTTTCAAAACAAGATTCAAATTTGATGCTGTAAATAGCGTAATAAATAATTATAAAATATTATTAAGTATATCGTATGAGATAAGAAATTAATCAAAACTTATTGATAAAATAATATTTTAAACTGACTAAGTATATAGGTGTAAATTCTTAATATAATATTTTTAAAGATTAAAGATGTTTCGCACATTAAGGTGATTGAGTTGCTAGATATTTGTCCTACTGTATTTACCTTAGCAATAGTTTTCAGCTCTTATAATTGTTGTTTTAAGATTTTTAATGTGCTTGTATATTTTATTATGATAATTTTATGTTCCTGTATTATGAAATTTGTCATTAGAGTCGGCATTTTGGTTATTATTGGTCGTCACAGGTGGTTCAGTTGGCGGAGTATTGGAACCAAACAAAGAAGATCTCCATGGTGTTCCTCTCCTCTCATAGATTACATGTGTAAACAAATAATTTCTCCTCCCAGGTAAGTTAAATATTGCTAGTAAGTAGAGTGAATGTCATAGATGTTGGTAATGTCAAAGATCAATATGTTTGTTAGGATCTTTGGTTTGTAGAACAGGATTTGTCAGGAGGTCAGGACGTAGTGGAGGTGAAGCCGACCTTTGTACGTGAAAAGAAAAGTAAAAATTGTTCAGTTACATCATCCTAATGTGAATTATAAAAGTTCTTATAATATTTTTTGAGTGTATGTTATTCTCAATGTTTCAGTAAGTGTGAAGGTCAGAGGTGATAGTTGGTTTAGATTTTTTTTTTTTTTTTTTCAATAGTAACATACAGATCTCATATCTCCTGATGCCTATAGTGACTCTTTGGTAGTTTTATGGGTAAGATTATCGTTTCGGCCATCCCTATGTTTTACCGGTGGTTTTTGGCGTGTTTCAATGAGTTTAATCTGACCTAACCTAATCTAGCCGCAGAACTCAAAACTATATCTAACCTAACCTAACCTAAATTCCTAAGATTCCCCGAATGAACGAAACATTGGTAAAATCATAAAAATTTGCTTGTCTAAATGCAATAAGGTAGTAGTGGACGTACAGTATTGTATTTTTTTTTTTTTGCCATAATGTTTTGGCTTCATGTAATGATATGAATTTTGTACATAAAACATATATTACACTTACATTTTAAAATAAGGTAAAATTTCACTTGTTGCCACCCAGTACTTGCCAACGGTGCATAATAGAGACGCGACCGACCACCTGAGCGGCTCATGAGCAGATCAGTAGTGAAAAGGATAAAAGTAAAATTAAAGACGTGGAAGTTGAAATTATGCTTAATGGATGTAAAATGCGATTTTGATTAGATTTTATTTTATGCAAATTAATATTAAAAAGTTATGACATTTTTAATGTGACATTTCCTACTAACTTACTGGAAAAGCATGCACATATAATTAATTTGTAGAAGTATATGTGTTAGTGTAGAATATATAATTAATTTTAGGAAAATAACCTAACCAACACACTATATCATGCTCTGATTGGTTAAGACCAACAAATAAAATGTTAAGTATCTTGCTTATACATAATTTGTGACAAATGCCATAGAAGAAAAATGTTTTAGAATAGTCAAAACTACTGATTGCAACCATAAAATTGTCAAAATTCTGTAGGTGGCCATCATGTGACGGCTAAGAAATAAGGAAATTATAATTAGGAAACTTGGTCAGTTATAGTACAGTACAGTATTAATAATTTTATTCATGTACAGGGGAAGCTGAACACCACCAAGATGACGGATGGAATGCTCTCATTATCATGGAACAACCACAGTACTACATTTTGTCACATGCTCTCACAGCTGAGACACAAGGTTAGTGTAACTAAGCTTACTCCCATTTAAATTTAAGGATCTCACAGGTAGAATCTGTGCTAGTTTAGGGTTTTAGGAAGCAATAGGGAAATAATGTTTAAAGTATTATTAAAAAGCTACCATAATATAGCTACCCCCATATACTGTATGAACATTTAATTTTGTTCTAAGTAAATAATAGTATTTTTTCACTTCACTCTTTCAAGCTTTTTCCTAGTATGATATAAACAGTATATTGTAGGAGCTGTAATCCAGAGCAAAGAGAAACTCACTTCAATTGTTTTCAGTCTTTCATTCACTGCTGTAACAAGCAGTACATCCATCCCCCCAAAACTACTTGATACCATACCAGGCTCTCCAATCTTTATTAAATATCTTTGCCCTACATGCCCAGCCTGCAAACATCTAGGGCATCCTTCTCTGTCTTCCTCTTCTCCCTCCTTCAGTCATTACTGTATTGTATATATGTATATTTTTTACCAGTCTTTCACATCTCATTCTCTCAGTGTGTCCACATAACATCAATACACCCAGGTCAACTCTCCACCTGGTTTCTCTCACATCCACATCACATTTTCTTTATCTTTTATTCATCACATTTTATTTACTGACATAATATCCTCAAGTACATCAAATTCTTTATTTTAGTGTTGTATCATTTTGTTACAGTATATTCACTCAAAGTGAATATCCTACATAGACAGGTGTTGTGTAATTAGATTTCTCCAGGCTTCTGACTGGTGAAAATTTCCTCGTATCATTTTCCAAAAGTCATTTGATATCTTCATTCATAATACTTGTACAGTGGTCCTTCGATTAACGATCACAATTGGTTCCACAGAGTCGTTCGTTAACTGAATCTATTATTTCAATGGGATATTGGGTAATTAGTTCCAACTCACAGAAAAAGTACATACAAAGTACTGTATACCAGTAATAGACTTAACAAAACATTAAATATAAACTAAATACAGTACTGTACTGTACAGTATACTGTACAATAATAAATAAAAACAATAGAATACTGTATTTTAACTTACTTTGAGGTGTGTATGTCGTATTCCCGGCAGCTTTGTTTACATATTAAACCTGCTGATTGTAGAGGCAGTCGATGATGACATGCCATATTCTTTACAGAGTGCATTGGTTCTAATGCCTTCTTCATGTTTCATAATAATTTCTGCATTGTATACTGTATTATCAATATGTGAACTAAATTTCAGAATGCCCAATAATTTTAATGTAAAAATGCAAAAATATTCAAGAGACCAACAAACTGGATGTTCACTCCACTGTAAACAAAGTTAAACTGAGAAGCGTTGGTGGGTGATTCGATCAGCTGATCGGCACACAAAAACTGTTCCCCATACTGTATATATTATCAATATGTTAACTAAATTAGAATGACCAATAATTTTAATATAAAAAATGCAAAAATATTCAAGAGCACAACTTTCTTGAGATTTACTCCATTGGAAACGAATGTTAACATAGAACCAATTACTGTATTGGCGGACTAGCCGATCAGCTGATGCACACAACAAAGCGTGTTTCTCGTAAGGCTGTCGTTAATCGAAGTTTTGTTCGTTAATGGAATTGAAAATTCTTATGGTAGCTAATTCGTAAACTGAAATTTCGCTAATTGGACTGTTCGTTAATCGAGGGACCACTGGGTATAACAAGTAAGGAAACTCCCCTAAGGCTGGCCCAGGATAGAGCTAAATGTGTCTCCATAAGAGAGTAAGTCATTGACCAATTGAATTACTGTGCTGTATAATGCAACTGACACAGCTAGAAGTTAGTCGTTTGTTAGAGGGAGGGACACTCTTGTATAGCACTTCCTCCTGTTTGAATGTTGTGCCCCTTCATAAGAAACAACTTTAGTTTAGGTTTAAACCCCAAATAGATACTGTATCAGAGTTTTTATTTTACGTAGCATAATGTTTATAATTTTTAATGACTATATGTAATGTTAATTTTCTTCTTCTTCTAGGAAAGATACACTGATGCTACTGTTGCTTGTGAAGGTAAATTCTACCCAGTGCATAAACTTGTGTTATCAACTTGTAGCCAATATTTTGAGGACATGTTTGAACACACATTGGGAAAACATCCAGTTGTGTTGCTACAAGATGTAAGACGTGATGAGCTAGAAGCTCTTCTCAGCTACATGTACGCTGGTATTGTGAGTGTTGCCCAAAGGGATCTTGCTCGACTTATTAAGGTTGCTGAGTTATTGCAAATAAAGGGTTTGGCAGTCCCAGATGAAATACCCATTGACAAGAAAAATACAGCGAATGACCGTAGCTTAAGCAGTGAAAGGACTAGTCCACCATCGAAGGTGTCACAAGGAATAGAGTCCAGTGATGACAGAAGTAGTCCGCATCCAAAGAGAAGACGAAGAGAAGAGAGTGGAACACCATCTCGGGGCGGATCATCTCCCACCCATGCCCCAGATTCCCCAAAAGCTCCCTTACATACCAAGGATAGTAATCAAATGCAAGAAAGTTCAAAAAATTGTTATTCTGTTCAGGAACAAGTTTTAGATGATGTGCACCAGAGAGTGGAAGATTTAGAGCAGCAGAGTGGAGGTGATAGAAGAGAACACACAGAGAAGTCCAACACAAACAGAACAGCACAACAGAGAAATGATCACCAGGTTAATCAGAGACTTAACCACCAACCTACCACTCAAGATTCTTCAAGAAATCAGTTTAAGGTGTGTAAATCAGTTTTATGAAAGAAAGTTAAATGTTTAATACACTGTGTATTAAAATTTCTTATTGGAATTTTTAGATCATCCACTAGTGTCATCAGCCTTTTTCCCTGTATCTTAGTGTTGCTAAGGTTCTCCTCTACTTTCTGTTGCATTATTTGAAACAAAAATTGCAGATGTTGAGCCTTGATGATTTATTCTGTGGCATTGGTGTATTTGATAAAGCTAATACGTGTACTCACACTCATTTCTTTTTATTTGCTTTTTATTACAATATGTGTGGTAGAGCTTGCAGGTAGATATAAGAACCATCAGCATTAATCAGGCCAGTGAAGCTAATATAAAGTCATATCTGAAAATTACTTTTATGTCAAATTTTAGGATGGTGGGGAAGAAGCAATAATCATAAAGGAGGAGGCATGGGAGGACCCAGGAGACAACCAAATTAATTCCATGAATGCCAGTATGGGTTATGGTCCTTCAGTAGAAGATTCATCAGCTGGTGGTATGGATGGAATCCAAGAAGATCACACTAAGTTATTGTTACCCAAAGACTATGAGAGCCAAGGCCACCCTGGCCAGTTACCACAAGCACTGCCAGAAGTTGTTGTTGAGGCACTAGCTGGGCCATCAAGCATGCATGAGGTTAGTTTTACTCAGCAGTTAATGTATTATCTTTCCCTTTACAGCACAGTACAGTACTGTATATAGAATGTCTTCCTAATCTTTGGATTCACAGGGAGGTCCAGGTTTTCTCAGTGGTTGACCATTCATTGATCCAGTGGTGACAGGGGGATTAATGACAAAATAAAGATACAGAATAATAATAAAAAGTCTACATTCATATTTGTAGAATACTGAATACAGTAACATATATTTTCATCATGATATAAGTTGATGTGTAAATATTGTACAGTAAACTCTCAACATTTGTGGTGTTGTATTTCTGGGAATTGGAGTGAATATTAAATCTGAGAAAGTTAGACAAGGAGTTAGTTAACACTGTGTGATACCTCCAACATTGTACAGTATCTATTGAGGACTTTTATTTGGGGAACTAAACAGTCATGAAAGAATAAAAGTTAATGGTAATGTCAAACCCTGTACCCTATATTTGGTATGCAAGAGGTATTGCAAAAACTGGTTAATAGTTTAGTGGAAAAAAGTGAGGGAAATAGGCTAAGAGTTAATGATATAAAGATAAAAGAAATGTTTGTTTCTGAATCAGAAGTACAGTATATGTATAACCTTAAATAAGAGTTATGGTAGGCAACAAGGACCTTAAAAAGAGATTGAAAATTTTATGAATTTGAAAGTAACATGAGTTGTGGTAGGAAATGACCATAAAAAGCAGTATCAGCCAAGTAAATATTGTATTTAAATAATCTTTGAGTTCTTTAAAAAATGGGAATAATTTCAATTTGAGAAAAAATTAATAATTTTTTTTGCCAGTGCTCCTGGGTAGGTCAGAAGTATAGACACGTATTGCAGACACCAGATGGATGTTAGTAATGTGCTACAGAAGGATGCTAAACGTCAAATATATCGATTGGAAAACAAATGAATAAGATTAGTATGAACTATGAGACAATACTGGAAACATTTAGAGCAAGTAAAAAGATAGTTTGACAATAAAATTAGGGAAGGTAGAGTAAGGATAATGGTAGAAATATTCACTGGCAGAATTGAAGGTAAGAGAGCCAGGTGAAGACAGACTGAGATGGATGAATGATATTAAATGCTGGGTCTCCAGAGAGAAAATTTAATAAGATTGATAATGACAGCCCGAAAAAATCTGAATTAGCGGACCATTACCATTATCTCTGACATGAAGACAGCACCTTGAATGAGATGCTGATCCATGCAGTTTGACCTGTTATGTATGTTATCTTTCCCTTCCCTTAATTAAATCCAGGTTGAATTTTAGATGGAAGGAATACACAATTAGCAGTAAAGTTTACATATGTGAGGTTAAATTGTACTATTTATGTTTACACTCTACTGTATGGCTTACCGACTTTTTATAAGTGTAGTGTTGTAATTTTGAACCTAATACCACTGCTGTACAAACGGCAACACATTACCTTAAACATATCAAGAATACAAATCTAACAAATTATTGTATTTCTTCAGTGGCTAGGTGGAGGGGACTTTACTGCAGGGTTATCTGCAGTGGAAAATTACAGTGGAGAGGGAAGTCCACCCACTGCTGACCACCCACAACAGCATCAGATGGTAAGTGTTGTTCTTGTTTTACAGAAGAAACTGCCATTTCTGGGGATTTATTCAATACATGTAAGGTGTTCTCCGTCCCACCTTGCATTAAATATGGAAAACCTTATTATAACATGAATGATTGATAGGCATTTGCAGAGTTATGAAATGTATATACTGTATGCATATATTTGAACATCTAAAGTAACACATACTGAGATGTACAGTACATGAAGAACCATGATGGTACTTTCTTCTGTTAATGTTAATGTTGTAGATGCTTTGAACTGTAATGAGCTCACCTGTGTCGTTCTTGGGTTTGTCTTCAATCAAGCTTCTGTTGGTGCACAAAACAGATGGGAAAAGCATGAGATTGCCTGTAGCAATAGTCCCATTCTTGTATATGAAAACTTGGCCAGTTTTGTAAAACTACACTCGTCTTGTATTCTACGATAATAGATTTGGAGATATTTTAATTATGAGTTCCAAATGATAGATTTGATTCTGTGTATGACCCATTAGGTGTACCTATCCATAACCGGAAGAATCGTTTCAACCTTATTCCAGGCTCAGGCACTTGTTTAAAGGCAGTACAATATGTCCACTGGCTGAAAAACTAAGCTTCCCAGGACCTGGACATGTAACTAGAAGCAATCTGCAAATTAGTTAATGTTCTCTTATCATATCTGGGTATCTAGAAGAGACCTGATGCACTGCTTGACTCAATTGCTTGGCTACAAAGGTCAATTTCTCAGTCAACCACCTCAATTCCAATCATGTGAACAAGTCATTACTCCTCATTGAAAAGAGCTTCCTCACAAAATTTTATTTAGAACATTTGTCTTTTAGTTTGATTGTGACCATGCAGTCCTAGGTGTTAGAGCAGGGGTGGGCAAAGTACGGCCCGCGGGCCACATTTGGCCCGCCAAATTATTTTTGTGGCCCGCCACTGCATTTGTATTTACAAATACAAGGCTTTACTTTGTGTAAATATAATACATTTGCATCTACATTAAGTGGGTGGCCCGCGAAGTGTGCCACCATTCATGAAGTGGCCCTCCATCAAAAAAAATTGCCCACCCCTGTGTTAGAGTAATGAAAAGTTTGATTTTAGCACATTACAAAGGCCTTCACATGGATTGGCAAGTGGGGCTCACACCACCCGGCTGTGTGCACTTACTTCGTGTGGTGCAATAGTTCAGGCTATTTTAGGATAGATTTATTTGAGATACAGGATCTGGCCTACAGGCTGTCAAGAGATATTCCTGTGTAATTCAGATTGGAATTCCAGGAAAGTTCTTCTAGGGAGCTTTGTTTGGAGGTACACTGCTTATCTTGTTGGAGTGGTCAAATCTTCATGCATTATTATCTAGGGATTATTATTATCTTGGATATATTGCAACCCTTAAGGGGCTTAAACAGCAAGTTAACCTGATTTTTCATGAGTCTGAGATACTGTAACTGTAATCCCCCCCCCCCTCTCTTACACAGTCATTTCACTGTGGTCTTTGCTATAAAATTTGCTATCCCAGAAAGCACCCTGGTCGAGACTCCTAAGTCTATTCCTTGTTTACTGTAATTTGCTCCAGTTTGTCATAATTATTGTTTTCTTATGTTCTTTTGCAATGTGACCTATATCAAGGGATTTTTATATCTGTTCCTTTGGCTAGACCTCTAATTACAAGAAATTAATATTGATTGACTCAAGACTGACTTTAGATTATTTCTGATGATTTGGTAAGGTGAGGTATGCATATCCTCCATTTGTGAGTTGATGTTCCATACACTTGATATCCATAATAGATAATACTGGTACATGACAAGATGCTGAGAGGCATTTTACATTGTGGATATTATTCTATGCTGCTTCCATTTTTAGAAAGTGGGTTGTTATGTTACCTATTGTATGTGGATGGACCCAATGTGATTAACTTCAGGATGTAATAATTTTGTTACCACAGGGTAAGGAGGGACATGTTTTTGTTCCTACCTCATTTTTCATATCTTTGGGCGTTGATGATATAGACGCACTGACTCCTGCCTGGACAGTGATGTGGGTGTTACTTTTGCCTGGATTTGGGTTTAGGTACTTTCTCCATCATTGTAGTAAATAAAGTTAAAAACTACATACTTTGAAATGTTTCCAGGGGTACACTGGAATGTTAAAACTTGAAGTTGTTCTAGCATCTTTAGTGATAGGTTTCTTGCCTTGGAATTTTCAAAAGCAAGTACATTAACTTAATACAGTACAATGATGTGTGCATAAACCTATGAGAGAAGCTTTTGTTATTAACATCTCTTCTGCAGTTTTCATATTTGTATTTTGATATTTTTTCTTTATTGTCCTTCTAGGGTTATCTCCCCTTCCTAGAGCCAGTTGTTTGGTTTCTGGGTTCTATGGGGCCTTTGTTTCATTAGAGGAATTGGTTACTGTGAAAGTCATGCTCCACCCGGGTCTTATATTGGGTAGATGTTATCTAAGCATCTTGCTCGAGGAGGTGAGTGCTGTGTCTCCTTTGGCTCATCGTTGTCTTGGACCAGACTTGTATTGACAGATTAGATCCCTAGTTTTCAACCTAAGGGAATTTATTTCAAGGCTGAAAAGGAGGATGATGCCTCTCACCACTCACTATATACTCTGACAGCAGTTCTGTCTGAACTAAGTTTAACACATTACTTAAGTTGGCAAGCTTTGATATTAAGTCTTTGCTCTAAGTATGGAATCACTAGATCTTATATGTCTATTACAGTAAAGATTATCAAACTTGGTCAGGATGCATGATCTAGTGGAGTTGTGTATATTTGTTGGCATTCTTGTGTGGGATACCTATGAAGTACATTTTTGCAGAGGGGCCTTGGCACTTGGGAGTTTGTAAGGTCAGGTGCATTAGCATTTGGAATTTACAATTTTCTCCATACTTCCCATCTAGCTGAGTTTGGGTGCTTGGGCTGACCAAATGAGGCATAAGGTTATAAAGGAGGGACTGATTCAGAAATTCCATTTTATAACTGAGCCAGAATCATTGGTAACTCAGGTTCCCTCACTATTCCCTGTGGTGAGCTAAAACTGTCGTGGTCAACTATGAAATGGCATTTAGCAGCCAAGCAATAAGAGTCAAGAACCACACCGATGCTGGTGTGATGGTGACACAGTGCTTTCAGTGTTTAGTGGTAACTGCAGCATCTGTCAGGTCTCTTAGAAACCAGGATATCACTGAAAATTGTATGAAACTAATTCTTGGATTACCTTCAAATATGTGTTTGAGTTTCAGGGAACTGTGGGTTTTCAACCTATGGATTGACCATACGTGAGTCACTTGAGCCAGACTCGTTTATAAGATGCGATTTCAGGATCAATCCCTCATTTTTTAATATGAGTTTAGGTATTGGATTACAGTATCTGACAGGCATGAGCAAATTTTTAATTTAGAATGAAGTGATAGAAATGTACTGTAGCCATTTTGCACCTTGAGCTGTTTCTTGGATCTTTGCCAGAAAACTCCTTTCGTGATAAATCCCAACACAAGAACCTGGATAAATTGAAAAATGATCTGTTATTAATGCTTAAAACTCAACCGCATGGTTACCAGCGATATAGCCAGATAGTTGTCTGGAACCTCTATATGGTATTTTAAGAAAGTGAAAGATGCTGATTAGTTTTGTGCACTATTTCTTCCTGCTCATCTTTGCTACAGAAGGTAAGCTTTCTCTGTTTATGTCTTGAATTTAGATCAAGGTTTACTGTTAGGCAAATTATTGGTCACTAGAGAGTGTAATAAGTTTCTTTTTATTTTGGTTTCACAAAAGATGGGATTAGTTACTCAGAATATTCTAGGTTCATTTGTTATTGTGTAATGATTTTTTTTGGGGTTCAGGGTATTTTAAATTTTTATAAAGGCAATCTGAAATACAGGTAGAAAAAGTGATCCAAAATATAAAGTCAGTAAGAAAGTAGAGCAAAATGGTTTCATGACTTTTTGCTTCCTATTTATTATTGTATGCTGAGTTTATTGAATTGGTTACTGTATTTCCTTGTGTGGCCATCTTAAATATATGAAAATAAATACTGTACTGTGCAGTGGTGTCCAAAAAGCAGCCTTGCAAGATTGCAGTGTTAGCACACCTCCAAAGCTATTTCTTATACTGTACTGTATTCTTACATCATATTGTTGAAGTTCATTATTGAAATACGATGTATATTTAGTGTTTTCTATTTCTTTCATGCGTATGGTGTCCATAAATTTGAAACTAGTCAAGAACAAAGCTGAGAGGCATCACATGGTGCCAACTTTTTGTTCTCTTCTCCTCATTATTAATTTGATAGAATAGCAATGTGGGAGATATGGAAAATATACAATAAATGTAAAATAATTGAATGCTGACTAGACTAGATTTTTTTTAGGGAGGGTGAGGAATGTGTTAGTGTTGTTGGTAAGAGGGTGTGTACAGTAATGCTACACTGGTTGTTTGCAGCTAACACTTTCTTGATGGACAATTTGGAAGAAGAGTTACAAATGTTAAAGATTGAGTTTGAAAGAGTGTATTCAAGGATAAAGTTAACTGAATATGAATAAAGTGAAACGGATAACACTAAGTAGTAAAGGGAAATAGAAAGACATAAATGTTACCTGGAGTGAAAGTAAACAATAGAAAGTGGAATGTGTCAGGTACATAGTGGGAGTTGCTGTGATTAATTATACCACAGAGGAGAGGAAGGATAGAAGATTATTAGTAGATTTAGAAATGTATGGAGAGAGAACCATAAGACAGTTGATGAAGATGGATATGTACAGTTTATTTTAGATGACATTATTAGATGGATGTGAAGCTTGGACTCTGGGTGCATGCGGCGGTAGCACATCGGAAGTGACAAATGACGTACAGTACAGTACTTGAGAGCAATATACAGTATTAGGGAAATAGGACGCAGAGAATAGGAAATATGCTTAGGTAAAACTGAGGTATTTAGATGAAATAAGTGTATGACAAGAGATCAGTGAGGTTTTGCTTTGGTGGTTTGG